GCTCTGTTCTCCCACCCCACTCCTCTCTGTCTCCTTGCCAATCTCTGACTCTCTCTGGACATCTCTCTCTTTCTTTCTCAATGCTCCTGGTGCGCCCTTCTCAACCTGAGGACCGCCGGGTTGAACCTGGAAGTCCTGAGGGCAAGGACCCCCTCTACGAACCCCCTTGGCCTAGGCCATTGGACGTGGGGCCTTTCTCTTCACCTCTCTGAGCCTCAGTGTTCCATGTGTGAAATGGGCTTACGGAGAGGTCGAAGTGCTGGGCAGGTGTGAGCACTGCTGACGGCATCTCTCCGGGCACCTGGCTCTGATCTCTCTCTCCCCGCCGTGTCCATGACTTGGCCTGTCCGTCTCTTGGTTTCTCTCTCTAGCTCTGCCTCTGGAATGAGGAGGGTCCTCTGGGGTCTGTCGGGCAGCTGTACAGAGATGGGCGAGTTTCTCGCCCCACCCCATACACCCCGATTCCATGTCTCTTCCAGCCGGCAGGCTGAAGTGGCCTCTTTCTCCCCAGCAACCTTCCCCTGAAAACCCGGCCCCTAGTGCCCCTGCCCCTTGGCCTCCCCTCCCTCAGTATCCAGTGTCCCTTGGACAGACTCCGCTGCCGTCACCGCCGCCACCTCTGCCGTGCCCAACACAGCCTCCTCAGGGCCAGCAAGATGCAGTTTGAGATGCACGACAACGTGAAAGGCAAAGGTGGGATCACTCAATGGACCGGCAACCCTTCCAGTCCCCGGAACCTGGCCACTTCCCTCCCCTGGGCACCCTGGCTTCGAAGACAACCGGCGCCTGATTGTACCCCAGAGGTCCCTGAAATTCGGGAACCCAGGACCCCAGGCCCAGACGTGGAGGAGGCACTGTCGCCGGCCACCCACATGCGGCGCACCCCCTTTCCCAGACTGGCAGGAGCCCCACCCCCAGCTCAACCCGATGTACAGGAGGCAGCAGCAATGGGACAGACTGGGGTGTCGATGCCCAGATGTGGCCAAAGAAAAGGGGGCGCAGTGGTGACCTCTCAGTGGGCGGCCTGGTGGCCCCGCCCAGACTGCCCGGCAGAGGGAGGGGCGGCAGGGGCGCAGGGTCCCAGGAGGCGCCGCAAGGCCGCCTGCTGACCCCTGTCTCCCGCCTCTGCAGCCATGTCCTACCCAGTGACCAGCCAACCCCAGTGCGCCAGCAGCTGCTACCAGACCCAGCTCAGTGACTGGCACACCGGCCTCACGGACTGCTGCAACGACATGCCCGTTTGTGAGTGCCCGCCTCTCCCCTCCGGCCCCGGGGGCAGCCGGAGGGAGGGAACGTCACCTCCGACCCCCCCCCCACCCCCGCTACGCCCCGCTAATCCCACTCTCCGGTCCTCTCCTTGGACCCTGAGTCCCCACTCTCCGACCCTCACGCCTTCCTCGGACCCCCAACGCTCCCTAGGGTCCTAACCTCACACCTTCCAGCTTCCCTTCGCAACTCCAACTGCACCCCCCACCCTTCACACCCTATTTCTCAACCACTAACCTCTCCCCGCAATTTCCTCTGGGACCTTCACCTCCCTCCGACACTCAATTCCCTCTGGGACCCTCAACTTGGCTCCGGGGACCCCTCGGCCTCGCCCCCCATCCCCAGAGGCTAAGCCCGGTGGGCCCCGTCCTGACCTCCCTGCCGACGTTCCAGGTCTGTGTGGCACTTTCGCCCCTCTGTGCCTCGCCTGCCGCATCGCCGACGACTTCGGCGAGTGCTGCTGCGCGCCCTACTTGCCCGGAGGCCTGCACTCCCTGCGCACGGGCATGCGTGAGCGCTACCGCATCCAGGTGCGCGCGGGGTCTGGGCCAGGGGTAGGGGTCTGCGGGCTGGTCTCCTGGGACCCAAGGCAGAACTCCTGACCTCTCTCTCCCACCCTCTAGGGCTCTATTGGGCACGACTGGGCGTCCCTCACTTTCTGTTTGCCGTGCGCCCTGTGCCAGATGGCGCGGGAACTGAAGATCCGAGAGTAAAGCGACCCCCACCCTCCTTTCCCTTCGACTATGCCCGGCCTCCTCTGCCCCCTCCTGGGAGGGCCTGCCCCTCCGCCCGATCCCGCCACCAGAAGTACACCCACAATAAAAACCTGAAAACCAACTCCGCCTACATCGTTTGTCTCCGAGAAGGAATCTGGGTGGAGAAAGAGGTTTGGTGTGGAAGGTGGGGACACAGGGAAGGTGCCTAGGTGTGGAAGGAGGAGTCTGGAGTTGGGTCTTTGACCTTCACCTGCTGTGGATGACAATGGCAAGTCTCTTCCCTCTGGGGCCCAAGGTGTCCTCACTGACAAAGTCAAACCAACTCACCCCGTGGCTGCCTAGCTGAAGCTCTTCCTGGACTCTGAAAATAAGCAAAACCAGAAAGGTCATCTTGGTAAACTCCAGGCACTCGAGTTCAAAGAAAAAATTTAGGAGAGGCCCTGCTCATTTCACACCTGTGGATTCTTAGCCCGCGCACAATTCCGACAGGTAGGGGGCCTTTGTTTCCAAAGCAGAGGACTGCCAGGTTGAACCCTTTCTAGAGTAGGGAGGAATCCACTGTGTGTCTCAAAAGTAACTGCAGATTAGAAAACGTTCTGGTTTCACCCTGGCCAGGTGGCTCAGTCGGATAGGTTAGGGCATCACCCCATACACCAGAATGTTGCAGGTTCAATCATTGTACAGGGCAAGTACAGGAGGCAACCAACCGATGTCTCTTGCATCAATGTTTTTCCCTCCCTCCCTTCCACTCTCTCTAAAACGAACAGGGACATATCTTTGGGTGATGATTTTAAAAATAAATTTTAAGAAAAAAATCCTGGTCTTGAAATTGGACAGACCTGGCATCAAATTTTGACCCTCACTGCTATTGTGCTCTTAGTGAAGTAATGAGCCCATTCCCTTCTCTGAGGATGGTCCCCAACATGTCACGTGGCTACTGGAGAGCAAATGGTGGAACAGGTGAAAAGGCCAGAGAGTGAATTTCCTAAACTGCCACTGTTACTGTTTTATATATAGTATAACATTGTAACTACTCTAATATTAATATGTTACTTGTTGTTATTCTCCATCTGTGGATCCAATCACTGAATGACACCTCCACCTGGAATATCCAACAGGCAGCTCAAACTTAACATGTCCAAACCCTAACTCCTGGTTCCCCTCCCAAACCTGCTCTTCCACAGCCCAGGAACAAACAAGCCCCAACCTTTCAGGCACTCAGTCACTTTCTCCCTCACCCTGCCGCATCCAATCTGTCAACAAATTCAGGCAGTTCTACTTCCAGAATACGTCCAGAATCTCACTTCTCCCTATTCCTCCGCCCCCGTGTTGCTCCAGTCACCCTGAATTAGCTGAAGTCGGTGGCTCTTCGCTGGGCTCCCCGACCCACCCCCAACCTTTATTCTCTTCCCCTCAGAGGAGTCCTGCGAATGGGTCAGATCGCACCCCTTCTGTGCTCAGAAGCCTCTCGTGGCTCCTCCTCCAGTGAAAACCGGGTCCTCACCTGGCCCAAGTGATCTGCCTCTTGTTGCCTCAGTAACCTTCTCTCCTCCTTATTCTCTCCACTCCAACCACACAAATCTCTGTTGTTTCTCTAAAATGCTAGGCATAGTCCCACCTCAGGGCCTTTGCACTGGCTATTCCCTCAACTTGGAATTTTCTTCCCTCAGATGTCCCCGTGGCTCACTCCTTCACTTCTGCTGACATGCCATCTTATGCAAGAGGCCTTCCCTCCCCACCTCGTATTAAACAGGAGGCGCCTGACCCCCTCACCCCCCTCCACTGCCTTGTTTTCCTGCTCACCTTCCGACATACCCCATCATCTACTGATTATTACCGGGCTCCCCACTGGCTTGTCAGTTCCAGGAAGGCAGGCACTTTGTTCACTGCTGTGTCCCCAGCACCTAGGACAGTGTGGGGCCCATTGTAGGTGGCGATAATAAGCAATCACAGGCCCTGGCTGGTGTGGCTCAGTGAACTGAGTGCCGGCCTGGGAACCAAAGGTTTGCTGGTTCTATTCCCAGTCAGGGCACGTGCCTGGGCTGTGGACCAGGTCCCAGTAGGGGATACGTGAGAGGCAACCACACATTGATGTTTCTCTCCCTCTTTTTCCTTTCCTTCCCCTCTCTCTAAGAATAAATAAATGAAATCTTAAAAAAAATAAGTAACGACAGGTAAGACACTGGCTTAGCAAAAGGAAGTGATTTTAGAGGTAACGGGGAGGGACAGTGGAAAAACAGGCTGGTGTCAGAATTTGGACTTGACTATAATTTAGCCCCAAGGTCTCAGGCAAGGGGTTTCGCTTCTGCAGCTGCAAAATGAGGGAACAAGCCTTACCCCCCAGCAGGGATGCTGGGGAGACTAAAACTCATGCCAAGCACCCGGCACAGTGCCTGGAGTGTGCTCGAAAGCATTTCCCCTTCTTTTCCAGAGTGCTGCCAACCCTTAGGGTGTTGGTGGCCCCACAGAGGCTGGAACCCAGGCCGTCGCTCACACTTCATGAGCCTCTCATCTCCAGGTGTGTGGATGCCAGGGAGAGGTGACAGCTGAGGGAGGAGGAACATATGGCCTGGGACATTCGTATACAAACACCTGCACGACGATGATGAGAGCTGGAGAAAGGGTGGCCCTATGTCCCGGAGAAAGGGTCCATCACAGCGCAAATACTGTCCTTAGGAAGAATAAGCCACAGGGGGCTGGCGAGCAAGAGCCTTACTGCAGGGTTCAAGCACAAGGAGGAGTTCTGAAGAACCAATTCCGCTCCCTCCTGGTCACGCAGGGTGTCCCACAGCTGGTCAGCTCCCCAGATGGGAAACTCCACCTCCCTGCCCCCGCCGCACCCCCCCCCGTGGAAATTGGCCGTTTTGAACACCGCGCCCCTAGAGCCCGCTCAGTGCTGGGCCCGCTGTGCTCAGTGCGGCGTCAGCCCCTGGCCTCCTTCCTCGGGAGGCAGAAGAGCCTGGTGGTCAGGCACCTGGGTCTGAGAGTCAGGAGGTCTGGGTTCAAATAACAGCCATCTTAACAGCTAAATAAAACGTATTTAATGTTTTCTCACCTGCAAAATGGGGCTACATGGTACCTGCCTTGCATGGCTGTTGGAAAGATCAAATGCAGTAACAAGCCAAGCAAACTGTCCAGCACCGGTACTCAGCAAATACAAGTTCACAGTCACACCTTGGAGGTTAGGGGCTACCGTCAGCTCATAAAGGCAAAACTTATGTGTGGGCAGATAAATCCCTGAAAATCCCCAACTGCCCAGAAAGTCTGCAAACATTAATATTATGATATTCAGACCACGATGGAGACTCACACCACTCCTCAGTTCAAAATATCACCACGTCTGTGGCTGAACACCAGATGAGGCAGCCAGCTTGGGGCCTCCAGGCGGGTTTGTGCAGAAAGGTGAGTGAACACTTCCAGCAAGACTCCCACGACCAAGGGCCCGAGAGGACAGCGATCTCAGGCTCCCATCTCCCCTAGCCTCAGGGCTGTTGCTTGCTGGGGGACTGGGCTCCCACATGCTTCTGGTTCGGGCCATGAGAATCTGCTTGAATTAGAGCGAGCTTGCCATGCTAGGGCCCCATTTCAGTCTCCATACCTGAACGCCTCTCAGGGCAGAGGCCAGGATCGCAGCTGGTCCTAGGACCCAGGAAGGCCTGTTTTCCCTCTGGAAACAAACGGAGGCCTCCCTGACAGAGATCTGGGGTTAGAGTCAAAGGTCTCACTGCCCTCACGTCCCCTTGGTTTATCCCTTCTGGGAACAAGAGCTTCTATGGTGGTACCACCCTGACGCCTGCCTAGGGGGGACAGAGTTCAGGCCATGTGGCTTTGAGGGGGCACCGAGTGAGATAAGGGCATTCGTCTGATTTATCCAGAGCGTGGGTACTGGGTCAGAGAGCCAAGACACCCAACTCTGCATGTAGACAGCAGTGGGACATGGTCTTCCCCACACTCTTTGTTGATTCAAACACTCCCCACTTTCTCAGCCAGCAGCACACATGGGTGGGCCCTAGACTGGGGCCCCAGCAGAGGGGGAGATGCAGTACCCAGCTCTGCAAGGTCCCAAAAAGTGGCTGGGGGGTGAACTCTTGGGAAAGGAGAGTCTTAACTTCACGGTGTCTAGGACAGGGGTGGAAAGGGGCTCAGAAGTCCAAGGTGATGGCTGGGGTCGGGGGCAGCCCCTGGGGAGAGGCCAGAAATCTTCAAGGCAGCAATGCCTGGGAAGAAAGCTCTACGTTAAGGTCTCCACCATTTTTTATCTCCAACCTTGGCATTCACTCCTCCCCCCACTTCTGAGCCTGTGACCCCAGCCCTGGGGTCAGGTGACCCCACCAGAGCTTTGTCCCTCCAGCCAAGGGGGGCAGCATCGGCTTCCAGCTCTGGCTCAAGCCCCTGGGCTGCCTCGCTGTCCTCCCTCTTGTCAGCCTCCCCCGTCACCAGTGCAGCCAGCGCCACGCACTCAGTTCCTTCTGCTGAAATGCTCAGAGTGGTTTGTTTCCCTGGTTGGGCCTCGCTTAACACAGGTCTAAAGGGCATCTTGGGTCCGAAACTAGGCTCCTGATCTTCCCCGTAAGCCCGTCTGCCCATCTTAACAGACCGCGCCATCATCCACCCACAGCTGGGGCCACAAAGTTGGTGTCATTCTGGACTCCTCTCTCCCTCACCCCGACGCCCACTCTACCCTTACTTCCTTCGCCCACATCCTGCCTCTGGCCCGGACTCCTGACTGGGCCCATCAGCACTGTCCCCTTGCTGTTTCTCTCACCCCTTCCAACCCATTCTCCACACCACAGCTGAGTGACATCTTAAATAAAACCTTCAGATCCCATCACCACCCCCCCCCCCATAAAACTAACTGTCCTACAGCTTCCCACTGCCCTGAGAACAAAACCCAAACCCTGTCTGGGGTCCACGGGCCCTGGGTGACCTACCTCTGCCTGACCCCGGCCCTACTTCCTCCCCACACTCAGTTGGGGTCACAATGACCAGCTTTTGGACCTTCCCGTTAAAACGAGCTGTTCCCACCTCAGGGACCTTGTCCCCTCTGCCGGGAGCCCACGTCCCGTAGCTCTTCCCACAACCAGTTCCTTCTCAATCTTTGTGTAGCTTCTTGGATGCCCGGCTGACTTAACCCTCAGTCCCTACAGGCACATCAGTCCCACGAGATTGGGGAACCATGTCTGCCTTGGTTCCTGTTTACCTGGTGCCTTCACCAGTGCCTGGCACACAGCAGGTACTCAATAAATAACTGTTGAATGCACAACAAAGAAGGGCCTGTCTGGGGGCCCCCAGGGAAAAAGAACCAGAGGTCTCTGAGGACACAGTGTCGAGGGCCCCTCATGTGGATGTGCCCCGAGCCCAGGGCCCCATCAGGGCACTTTGCTGCTGCGGCTGAGAGCTTGGCCTCGGGTCAGAGGGACATACTGGTGAGGTTGTCCTGGCTCAGCAGTCCCTTCCGGCCTACACCAGCCCCATGCCCGCTGCCCCCAGCACCCCCGCCGCCTCCACAGTACTCATGCAGCCTGTGCCGCAGCGTGACGAGGGCTGAGCCCAGGCAGGCACCGTTGGGCGCGTGGGGCCCACCGGGCAGCTGGAGCAGCAGTGTGGCCACACCAGCCATTCCATCTTCCGTGGGCTCAAGGGTGATCGGCCCAGCCCGCAGGCCGGCGGTGCTGGCAGGGATGACTGGTGGGCAGCAGCCCCCTCCCACAGGCCCCCAGGGCCCACCTGCCCCTGTCAGCAGCAGGGGTGCCAGGAAAGGCTCAGAGCGACGGAAGGTGGGTGGCGGGAGTCCGGCCGGCTTCCAGGCAGGGACTGGCGCGGCAGGGTCGGGTGGGAAGCAGACAGTGACCTTGGCGAAGGGGCGGCTGGCCATCTTGGTCATCTCTCGCAGGTGTCGGCGCTGTTCCTGCCGCTGGTCCAGGGCCTGCTTGGCCTTCCAGAGCAGCACGCAGAGCGAGAGGAAGAGGAAGAAGCAGGAGAAGAAGACAGAGAAGAAGACGAACAGGTCGATGTGGGCCTGGTCCTGCCGGAAGAAGAGCAGTCCCTGGGAGTCGGCCGAGCCATTGGCGCCGGGCCCACCGGGGTCCCCGACGCCCAGCAGCAGCAGGTAGAAGCGGCTGGACTTGAGGGCGTGGTGCTCATGCGGGTAAGTGATGACCAGACGGTCCCGCACGCTGCGAACCACCAGCACTACCGACGGCTCTGTCACCGTCACGTAGGTGATCAGGCCCCGTGGCCACACCTCCCGCACCCGCGGCTCCACTGTAGCGGTCGGTCCACTCCCAGTCCCTGGTCCCCCCACATCCCCGGCCCCCCGGGGCCCGCCCTCGGCCGGGGGTGAGGGCGGCCGTGGCAGAGACTGGATTTGCACCACGTGGACGCCCGTGTCGGGGGCCACGTGGACCGCAAAGGTGTCGTAGGAGGTGGAGACATAGAGGTCCACGGCGCCAAAGGTCACATCCAGTGTCAGGCGGATGTCCACGTTGGTGAATTTGGGCTGCACGCCGAAGAGGACGGTGCGGCCGGGGCCCAGGGCCCGGCGCTTGGGCTCGTGGAAGCAGTTGGTCTGGGAGGTCGGGTCCAGGCAGCACTCCTGCTCCACAGAGATGAGGCGGTAGCACTGCTGCCCGCTCTGCGGGTTCCCGTGGAATGACTCCCGGCACTTGGCGCACTGCAGGCGGGGGAGGGCGGAGGCAGCCATCAGGGCTGAGCTCACGCCCAGCACTGCTCCAGGCAGGACTGACATTCTCTGTCTATTGGTAAGTAGCCAAGGCCCAGGTCCCCCTGGTGCCCCAGCACCTTCCTGTGACCCCCTGAACCTCCTTGCCACAGTGTGGATACTGCCAGAACCCTACACACTAGCACCCCCGTGATCAAAGCAGCCCGATGCCGAGGTCCCTGGAACTCTGAGGCTCAGTGACGAAGAGCTCTGCTGAATCCTGGCTCCACCTCCTCGTTAGCTGTGAAGCCTTGAACTAGTGACTGAACCTCACTGAACTTGACATTCTTCCTCTGTACACAGGCGGTAAACATGGCCAGCTCACAGACTGCTGAAATCACAGGCACAGCACAGGGTGGGCCAGCCTCACTGTTTCTGGGCTGTGTTAAGACATCCTACCTCAGGGCCTTTGCACTAGCTGGCCCTCAACCTGGATCGCTCTCCACCTGCCCTTGCCTTCCCCCCTCCCCCACCTCCTTTTGCTTGTCTGGCATCCACACTCCCATCAGGCTCTTCCTCAACCACCTTCTCGCTGTGACCTTCCTTGGCCACGGTAGCCACTATTTTCACTCCTCAGCACTTCTTAGCCCTCCTTTCTGCTTAATTTCCCTCCTTACTGCCTATCACCGTCACAGTGCATATCTGACTTAGTCACTTGTTTGCTGCTGGACTCCTCCGAGAGAAAGTAAATTCCCTGAGAACATACATTTGGCCTGTTTCGTTCCCTACTGCGTCCCAGCGCCTTGCCCAGAGCCTGCCACAGCGCAGGCGCTCAGCCGGCGAGTGCTGAACCAGTGGATGGAGCACAGCCTTCTGGTTCCAGCAGCCCAGTGGAAACCACTCCGGTTCTAGGGTCAGGCCAGCCAGTGTGGGCTCCAAACCCAGCTGGCCGTCTGACCTGGGACGGGACATGGGGTGCCCGAGCCTCTCACCCAGAATGTTTTCCTCTTACGTGTACGCCTGACCAAGGCCCCAGCACAGCCCTGACAAGCCTTCCTCATCTCTGCTGTCCCCACGGGACAGCGCCGGGTCTGTGGCAGGCACTCCCCACCCACATACTAGCTTCTTCTGCTGCTGCCATTAGAACCTACAGCAACCGCTACGTCAGAACTGCCACAGAGCTGCCGGAGGAGAAGGGCTGAATTACTCTCTGGGCCCTTTTTTTTTTTTTTTTTTTTTGCAAAGGCCAAAAGACCTTGATTATGCATCAAGAAAGACATACTTCTGACCGAGGATGGAAATATCAGGAGTCAGTAAAGCTTGTGAAGCTCTGTTGCCATTTTGGTTAGAGCTGCATCTTTGTAGATATGATGTTTCTGTAAATGGGTGGGGGAGACTGGAGACTGAGGCAAGCCAGGGATTTTCTCTCCCCTCTGAACGAGGGAGAAAAGGCCAGTGGGTGGGGCTGTGGGAGCTGTACTCCAAGGAGGGAGCATGGAATATCCCTTCTGTAGGGGGCGAGCTTACAACGTGGCAGCCAACCAGGAGCCCCTCCCCCAGCCAAAGAAGAGTGACATGGACTCAAGGGGAATTTGAATACAGGTATTAGTAATGACATGAGACCCCCTATTAGCCCCAGATCATCAGGTGGGAAGTGCTGCTTGGAGGAAACCTGCCTGAGAATGAAGCCAACACAGAGGAAAGCAGAGTGAGGATGCAGAGAATGATACATTCCTGCTGGCTCGGTGGGAGCACCTGGATCTAGCCATTCCTGAATAGACTCCAGACCTCCGTTTGGAGAGCCAATACATTTTCTTTTTTGCTTAAGCTACTATGAGATGGGTTTTCTGCCACTTTCGACCTTTAAATTGTAACTATCTGTAACGGAGTCTGTCTCCTCACCGGCCGGAAGGAGCCCCCTAAGAAGCTCATTTCTTGGTCCTCAACATCATGGCCCTGGGCCTGAAACTGACAGGAGCTCAGAAATAGCCTATCAGGCTGACCTTGACCCCACGACGACAGAGTTCAAAACCACAGTGTTGGGTGGCATTGGTGGTATAGTGGTGAGCACAGCTGCCTTTCAAAACCACAGTGCTGGCCCAGCCCTGACCCCTGGGGCTGCAGGGCTCTTGGCCCATAACTCGCTTCTCCAGCCGTACCTGGTACTTGTAGCAGTCTCGGCGGTCACTGGGGGAGCTCCCCTGGCAGGTGCCCGTCTCTGTGTTGTTCTGACACGGGCAGCCTGTCCCATCCTGCTCGTTACATGTGTCCGCATGGCCATTACAACGGCACCTGAGGAGGGGAGGCAGACAGGGGTTACAGTGCTTTCGTGACCCATAGGAGCGCTGGCTGGATGCTGCATGTGAGCTCCAATCCAGGCCTGAAGAGAAAACAGGCTCTCAGAGATCCAGCCGTTTACCCAAGGCCACAGGGCAAATGAGTGGCAGAGTCAAGGCCAGAACCCAGCTTGGACTGACCATTCAGAAGGAAGGGGTAGACTGGGGCGGTGTCTCGAGGCCTTTCCCTCAGCCGCCCTCTCTCTGCCCTCTGGTCTCCACTGGGGCTGCTCTGTAGCCTGTGTTTCAGCATTGCCTCTGAGGTTCGGGTCCCCCAACTGAATCCTGCCCTTCCCTGGACCCCTGCCCTGGCCTGGGGGCTCCCTGGGGACTGCACCTTCTCCCGACCCAGGGCAGGAGGCTGGGGAGCGGGTCTGGCTCCCAGAGCTGTGCCTGGTGAGCAGGGCAAAGGGCCGGGGCCCCTTCCACTTACTTGGAGCACTTCCCATCCAGGAGGAAGAAGCCATGGAGGCAGCTCTCACATCTGTCCCCATAGCTGTTATTCTGGCAGTGTACACACACGGCCTCATCTTCACTAGGACCCTCTGTCACCCAGTTTCCGATCTGGCCAGGGAAGGACGCGATGAGCACGAAAAGGCACGGACCAGCCCCCTGCTCCCTCAGACCCAGGAGTTCAAGATCACAGCCCCTGTCACCTCCTCTGGATCCAGCGAGTACTTCTCTGGCTCCCTTCTGGCCCTTTCAAGATCCTTCCTGGAGATACAGGTGTCGCTGTTGCCTCGACAAAAGGTGTTGCAGGGCCGGCAGGTCCCACCCCCCACGGCGGAACCCACGAACATCGGGAGGCACTGCTCACAGTGGCTGCCCTGGAAACGGGGGGGGGGGGGCAAGGTGGTCAGAAGGGTTAGAGAACCATGGGGTGGGGGGGCATAAGAGTGGGAGGTTACAGGTTCTAAGAGCCCCACAAAAGGGTACCAGGCTCGGCGCTCGGCCTGGGCAATCCCGGCCTATCTGGGATCTACCCCTCTGCCTTCGCTTGCACATCTTCAGTGATGGAGGGTTCATTCCCTCACAGCCCAAGTTATTGGCTCAGAAAGCCCGCCCCTAAACTATTCCAAGTCCTCCTCTGCGTGACCACCCTCCCTGGCCCAGCACCGACTCTGTCCACTATTCCACGGCAGTCCCTCTGTGAATCAAACCCCGACAGTGTCCCGAAAGCCTTCTCACACTACTCTGGGACAGGATCAGGCCATCTCCACCCACCCCGTGTAGGATTTATTGGCACTTGAACGAGACTCAAGATGCCTGAACACGGGCTGAAGGCAAGGAAGGGCCGGGTCCCGGGGTCAGGGTCCGAGTGGCCACCTTGGTGTGGTTGTGGCAGAGCAGGCAGTGGTCGCGGGCCCCCACGCCGGCACACTCGCTGTGGCGGTTGCAGCGACACTCCGTGGAGCAGTTGCGTCCGACGAAGCCAAAGTGGCAGCGGCAGTGGTCGGGCTCCACGCACGAGCCGTTCACGCAGCCCTGGGCACACACTGGGCGGCACAGCCCCGTTACGCTGCGGGCGTGGGGAGGGGGTCAGGGCAGGGCACAAGCCCACCACACGCATCCTCTCCTTGCTCTGCTCCAGCGCCCTCCCCACCCAGGAGCCAGCCCCCAGCCCCCTCTTCTGGGCGTGCCCCGTCACACTCAAAACCTTGCCGCTCCTCGACCTGGCCCTCCAGCCACAGGCCCCCTGGGCCAGCTCCCCACCATCACGCCTTGGACCATGTTTCCTTCTGTCCTACTCCGCTCCGTGCCTCACCGTTCACTGCTGCCCGCAGGTGCTCCCACCCTGTGTCTGTCCGGTCCCCCCCACCCCCGGCCCACCCAGGCCCCGGTCTGGCTGCAGCCTCACTTGTCTGTGGTGTAGCCCGTCTTGCAGCTGCACTTGTAACCGTGGAGCTGGTCGTGGCAGTTCTGTGTCTCATTGCAGTCATGGTGCCCGTTTGCACACTCGTCCTCAGGAGGGCAGGACAGGAAGGTCCAGGAGGCGCCAGGACGCCCACACGTCAGCCCTGGCACGAGACACAGGGCTTCCTTCACTGGGGGGTCTCCACACCACCCACTGACCCAGGCCCCTGCTCCTACTTCCCAAGCCCCACCTCTGAGACAGTCCCCAGCTCCCCTCCATGCTGTGAGCCAGCCCCTCACTCGACCCCGACCTCTGGTCCCTTCTCACCATCACGGGGGCCGCTGAGTCCACCCTCCAGGCAGCGGCCGCCTCCATCCTGGCCCCCCCAGGCACACCAGCCACAGTGGGGTCGCCGCAGGCACAGGGCGCACTGGGTCACCTGAGCACAGCCCAGGGAGCAGCTCTCGGGCCCCCGGAGCAGCCGCCCGCAGCCTCCAGCCATGCATCGCAGGGGCAGGTACGAGGGGCTCAGACACTGTCCGGGGGAGGGGACACACAGATCCACTGGGTCAGAGGAGCACATCCTGGTACCTTCCCAACCACACCCTCTCCTCAGAGGTCTTACCCACCCCAGCCACAGCTGGTGGACCCCAGCGAACACCAGCTGGGGTCATCACATTCTCCCTCGCAAGCATCTATAACTGAGACTAGCGACATCCTTGAAAGCAGATTGTGTAGAGCAGGGCTGGCAGGGCCGTTGGTGAACAAATGACATCAATGAAGAGGAGAGGCAGCAGGAAGAGGGTGGGGGCAGAAGGAAGCAGAGGTGAGAGCCACACCCCCAATGCAGGTGGAGAGGCCACTTCCCAGTTCCATCTCCAGTCCCTGGTGACACCTGGCTGCACTCTGCACCCTGGCTTCCACAAGGTGCCACGGAGTTGGTGCAATGAGGCCCCTTCGCCCACCTGGCTCGGGGCACAGCTGCTTTGCACAATCTAAAGTGGGCAATGGTCCCAGATGGAGACCAAAACTAGCATCAGGAGGAGGGTGCAAGCCACAGTCACCTAGAAGAAAAGGGGACCTGACTGCTGGGCCAACAGGATGCTCTCCCCCGGTCCGGGAAGCTGAAGAGTCCACGGGCAGGGGCTGAGCAGCAGCCCACACGCCACCACCTGGCACGTCCTGGGACCATGAGGATCGGGCACTTGGGAACTAACCTCAGTGTATACAAGCATTTCACTTACGGCTCAGGCCTTAAGTATAAGAGGAGAGACTTTAGTCTGGGCTGGCCAGCAGCACTTAGGAAAAATCAAAGCCACCATGCAATCCTGAAACAGAAAACCTGCCTGCCACGGGCAGAACTTTGAGCCTGTTGAGGGTTATGGCTAGTGGTGAGCTGAGCCTTGACCAACTGCCAAATTCTCTGCCAGGCTAGGCCACTACACCTAAGTTTAGCACACCCGTGGCAGAGAGCAGACAGTCTGGGAGGAGGTGGAGAGAAGCCTGAGGCCCCAGTCTGCCAGGTGCTGTCTGCTGTGACCTCCCTGATGGCCAAATGCAATGCTGCTGTCCCACACCATGACTGCATTTCCTGTGTTCCTGGCAGAGACTTACAAACGTGAAGTTCTGAGCAGGACCCGCTCTCATCTGTGGCATGTGCCCATACCCAGCAAAGTGCCTGGACACGGAAGGGGCGCAATAAACAGTGCGGTGAAGGGAGAAGAGGAGGAAAGAAGCCAGCCAGGAAAGGGAGTGCCCTCTTGCCTGCGCCAGGTCTGAGGCCAAAGTCATTGAAACAAACAATGCTGGGCGGTTGGAACACAGCTGCCCTTGAGCCAAATCATAACAGGTCTGGCCTGTACGCCTGTTATGTTTGATCTGTGCAGTGGTGACTTTTAAAAACCCAAGCTAAGCCCTGGCTGGTGTGGCTCAGAGGACTGAATGCCAGCCTGCAAACCAAACAGTCGCTTGTTCGATTCCCAGTCAGAGCACATGCCTGTGTTGCAGGACAGGTTCCCCAAAGTGCTGGGCTCAAAAGAGGCAGCCACGCATCAATGTTTCTCTCCCTCTCCTTCTCTCTCCCTTCCCCTCTGTCTGAAAACAAGTAAATTAGCCCTGGCTGGTGTAACTCGGTGGACTGAGTACCAGCCTGCAAACCAAAGGGTCACCGGTATTGATTCCCAGTCAGGGCACATGCCTGGGTTGCAGGCCAGGTCCCCAGTCTGCCAGGGCATATGACAGGCAACCACATATTAACGTTTCTCTCCCTCTTTCCCCCTCGCTTCCCCTCTCTCTAAAAATAAATAAAAATTGTTTAATAAAATTAAAATTAAAAAATTAATTAAAAAACAAAAAACCTGAGCCAACATTTTAAATAAGTTTCACAGAGACCAGAAGACCTGGCGGAAAGCCCTCTCACACTCGCACACGCCTGGGGCTGCCCAGAGAGCCCGGCGGGCGCAGAGGGGCCAGGGAGCAGCACGTGCTCTCTGGTCCCTGAAGCCCCACAAAGACAAACAACGGCAACCTCAGTGACACTGGGGGATAACTTCTATCACCAGGCAGACCCCCAGGTTTGGGGAGGAGAGGCCTCTGCTCCTTACAGACCAACACCGCAGGGCCACAGTGAGGGGCCCCTCGGGGACACGCACTCCCCCCCCACCCATGCAGCGATCCTCTGGGCGTGTCCCAGAGAGTGGGTGGAACCTGGGGCGTCGCTGAGTTTTTACTTAATGGCAGGCTCTGCTCCGTGCTCTCAATACATCCTCCCATTTAATCTGTCAACCTGCCTACGGGATGGTGTGGTGCAACGCAAGAAAATACTTGTTTTTTGACCCTGATCCCTGCCACAAAGCTACTAAAATGCTTTCCATTTCCTGTGTGATGGAATGTCTTATGTGATCCACAAGGGACCCCTTTCTCCCCAGAGTTGATGCTTCTGAGGCGACTTCGGCAGGGATCACAGAAAGACCATGTGATTGGAGGGGTTAACTTTTAGCCCCACCCACTAACCTGGAGGCAGGGTTAACAACTGAGCTCTGTAAAAACTCTTCAAGGCTGGTGCCCAGAGAGGGTGTGGAACTCCACACCCCCCCCTTATCTGGCCCCATTCATCTCTTCCACTGGGCTCTTCCTAAGTTGTGTCCTTCATAATAAACTGGTGTCAGTAGGTAAATGTGTCCCTGGTTCCATGAGTCACTCCAGCAAAGTCTCAAACCTGCAGAAGGGGTGGTGGGGACTGGATTTACGGCCAGCCTGCAGGAAGCACTGCAGACCCGGCTTTGTGCCTGGTGTCTGAGAAGGGGGCAGTCTCTCCAGACAGAGCCCTTGCACTCGTGGGATGTGATGCTGACCCCAGGTAGCGAGTGTCAGAAGTGCATGGAATTGCTGGACACCCAGCTTGTGTCTGCAGAATCAGTGAATTGGTTACTGGTGTTGGAAACACCTCAGATGTGGGGTCTGTTGAGACAACTTCTATTTTAACAAAGATGGTTGCCATGGTGAGTAGTCACACCTCAACTGGGTCTTGCACAACAAAGATCTGAACGGGGAGTGGACATCAGTGGGAATGGGAGCCCAGAATGCTGGCCCTGTGACGCTGCTTCCAGGTATGACGAGAGGTGAATCTTCCTGTCTCCCCCTGGGGTGGGGGTGGGGCTGGGGAATAAATGCCTCCCCCGCCTGTGCCTGTCACTGGGACGGCTAAATCATGCGGGGCAGAGGCACCTCAGGAACAGGCGTTCTGACAGCGCATGCTGGGCAGTCCAGGGGCAGGCTGTCAAAGGCACATACAGTGCCCCCCAGACCTTCCAGAACCATCTCTCCAGCCCACAGCCACAGAGGAGGGGTGGGTCTGAGCTGCCACGTTGGAACCACAAGCCCCTGGCTGTCTCCCTGAACCAAGGCTGGACCGACTCCTGAGCTGAGCTGAAGTCCCTTTGAGAATGTCAGAAAACTGGTGAACAGAGAGGACTGTGGTCTCTGGAATTAGAAAGCCACCTAGACTGAGGGCCAGGGCTGCCAGCTGAGGCCACGTGTGCTGATGACCGAGCCGAGAGAAACCGGAGGATGGAGGTGGAGCTCAGCGGAGCTCAGAGACCAGGTGGCCAGAGAGCCACGGGGCAGCGCTGGTTCCTGTCCTTACGCCCCATCGAATACCCCCATTCCTTCTAATAAAACCACCTCCAGTGTGTTTCTGTTTCTTAAAAGCAAAAGTTCCAAATGCAGAGAGAGGTGGAGGAGGGAGGTGGAAGGGTTTGGGAGGGAGAAGGGATGGTGTCGGAGCCGTGGAAGGACGGGGCAGGGAGAACCTGAGCAAGAGCTGAGGGAGTGGCAAGCAGACACACCGGGAAGACTGAGGGGGCCAGGAGGGGAGAGACGCTGGGAGGAGAGGAGAGTGGGGGTCCGGGGAGAGCGCGACGGTGAGGCCGAGCCAGGGAGATGGGGTGGGGGGAGGGGGAGAGAGTCGGCGCGGGGCGGAGAGGAAAGGGCCCGGGAGCGCTGGCGGAACCGTACCTGTTGGAGACTGCTGCTCCAGACGCAGTGCTGCCAGCCCCCATCTGCACCCTTGGAGTCCAGACAGGAGGTGCAGTTGGGCAGGAGGTGACAGGAAGTGGGGCAGGGCAGTGGGGGCGATGATTCCACAGGCATCGGGGACACGTTCAGCAGAGAGTGGCTGAAACACGTCCAGTCGTAGGTGGGCTGCACGGACAGGATGCGCCGGGTCTCCCCTAGGGTCGGGGCACAGTGATCAACCCCGGTCCATGCCCCCTGCCCCCATCTCCCTGAGACCCAGGAGTCCTGACCCCCAAACCGCCCTCTCAGGGACCAAGCCTCGGTGCACACCTGTTCTCTTGAACTGACGCGTCCACATGCACTTGCCCTCTTTGGTGCACTGCTCGCAGTCGGCAGCCCCGCAGGCAGCCTCTGAGCAGTTTCCTGCCCAGAACACCTCCCGCTGATTGATCCGACAGTCGTTCTCCGAGGTGCAGGACCCGTTGCGCCCGATGCAGGCACCCTCGGGACAGTTGGTGCACCACTTACAGCGGGGGGCAGATGCCTGCTGGGGGGGGACAGCCTCCATGGGTTCTCAGGGTCTCCAGCATCCCTCTGGGCACAGCTCCTCCCACCCAATCCCAGCTGAAGAGCACAGTGGTCCCCAAGCCGCCCCCCCACCTCACTCCACTCACCTCTCCATCCCCAGGCTGCAGGGTCCTCGGATGGCGGGCCAGGCACTCACTGCAGGTGCGGAGTCGCCGACATTCCTCAGGAGAGCGAGGCATTGGGGAGCAGAGGGAAGGCCCACAGCCCAGCCTGGGGAGGCAGGCGGCCTCGGTGCATCATGCCCAGCCAGGCCCCATTCTTCCTCCGCCCGTCCCTACCTTCCTGGTGCCTCCTGAACATCGTCCTGTAGCCCCCGTGAGTGCCCCACGCTGCACTCAGGACAGGACTCACAAAGCTGCTCCTGCTCCAGCCCACTTGCTACGGTCCCACGTCTACCTGCCGCCCGGGCCAGAGACACTACACCATCCCTCACATCCTCCTGCCCCTCTGCCACCAAGGCTTCTTCTGCCTCCTGAGTTCCTCTGGCCGTCCCCCCTGCCCACCTCTGCAGCCCCGTATTCAGTTCAGGCCTCTTTCCCTCACCCCGGCCTTCTGTCTAGTCTCTACCTGCAGCCTTTCCCCCTTCAAAACAGCCTCCAGGGCTCCTTCTGCCCAGAGCTGCCCCTGCTGCCCCCCACACAAACCCTCGTGGGCTCCCTGTCACTCACAGTGGAGGTCCACAATCCTTTACCCAAACTCCTTGGAGGCAACGTGCTTCAGAACTTTTAGAAAAGCAGCGCACGTGCCGACTGTTACATAACACCCTGTGGAGGCTGGGAGAGCGCCCCGTAAAGCCAGCCCTTTTAATATTTCTGCAGTGAAGGCCGTGGCACACTTCATCGGGCACATAAAACCCAGTCTGTGCTAAACCCACACCAGCACTTTCAGCTTCCTGAGACGTCAGCTTCCAGAACCACAGGGGAGGGGTCTGTGGACCCGAGCGAGGGCCAGCGCTTCAGCCAAGCACCGGAAGTCCTTAAAGAGCCAACTTACCCAACTACCCAGTCTCATTTCCCCAAGACTCAGGGGGTATTTCAAATATGCCAGGCACAGCCCCACTCTGAACCTTCGCTGGTGTCCAGTCCCCCAGTCATTTAGAGCCCAGTGCAGACCCAGCTCCTCCGGGAAGCATTCTGGGATGGCTCTCCAGCCCATACACAAGGCTTCACCCTCAGGGCCCCCAGCCAGCCCTGACGGTGCCCATTTCCCCACAGGAGCTGATATCCCAGCCTGGCCTAGCACAGAAGCCCCTTCAGAGACCACCCGTACCACCCTCCCCTGAGCTGTCAGTCACCACGGTTACCTGTGGGCCTGGTCCCCAGACCAGCAGGCGCCATGGCACCAGGTGCAGGCCCCAGACTGGTTGCAAGCTTCAGGCGAGGGCAGCAGACGACAGGGGTCTGGGGGCAGACTCAAGGCCAGCAGGCGACCCAGGGCCACTCCCCCAAAGCCCCCTGAAATATACAGCCGGCTGCCCACCGCCGCCACAGCGTGGGCCACGGACTCCTCCATGGGGGGCCCTACAGAGGCCTGGCCTGGAGAAAGACAGCAGTGATCAGGAGGAAAACTGGCAGGACCCTGGGGAAGAGACCTACACTAAGAACACCTGTCGGAGAGGGGCACTGAGCAAGCAGTGAGACAGTCTGAGGAGAGACAGACACAGCAGGACAGGGAGACACAGGGAAAGCCAGACAGGGCCGGGGAACCGGACAGACAGACAGACAGACAGCGAAACGAGAGAGGGAGAGAGACACGTAGAGGAAAGAGAGTGAAATTACAATTGGGGATAAATGTTGCAGTACAGCCCTAAAAGTTGTTTCTTTTCTTCTTGTAACTCAAGTGCCCGGAAGGACGGAAGCTCTCACTGCCAGGTACCCTTTTCAAAGAGGCACACGTGTCAAGGAAGCTTGTCTGGGATGGACACACTGTAGCCGCAGGACCAGGCCGCTGCCTCCCCGGCTGGGGCTTTGTTTTACAGAACTTGGTTGACTTCAGCCTCTGACCATTTGGGCTACTTGTTTTCTCTTCCCACCCTTTAAATTCCTGCTCTTATATTTTAAATTCACCCATAACGAGTGAGCCAGAGAAACCCTAGGCCTCTACCATGGATCCCAATAAAAGCGGCAAAATAAAATTTTCTAAGGGAAAAAAAGGAAGGAGGGTGTCCCCCTGGGTGTTTAGGGGACAGGAGCTGTGCTGGAGACTCTGAGGGGCACCAAGTAACTCCCAGTGGGAGGGAGCGTCGGGACAGGGGCTCCCAGGGGCAGCAAAGGACTTACGGGTGAGGTCAGGCAGGAGCCAGCTGTTGCAGTTGACCTGGTAGAGCAGCACCTCACTGCTGAACTCTTCAGTGTCTGAGCGCCCCCCCAGGACCACCATGGTGTCCCCCAGCAGGGCGGAGGCGTGGAAAAGTCGGGGGAGGGGCTGTTGGGGAGACAGGTGGCAGAACGGCCCATCAGAGCCCGCAGCCCTCTGCTCCCTCTCCCCGCCCACTGGCCACCCCAGTCCCCTGACCTGAGCCCCGCCAGCCTACCCCATCCAAACCTGCCTCAGACCTCACTTCCCTCCTCCAGGAAAACGCCCTCATTCCTCAGCAGCCCCAGAACCATCCTCCTTTCCTGAACTCCCACATCCTATGCTACTTCCAGCATCCTGGCCCAGACTCCTGGAGATGCACCCCACGAATCTGTGTAATCTCGCCTGCTGGGCTGGGGATGCCTGGGGTGAGGCCTGGGTGTCTTACTTCCTCCTCCCTCACAGTCCAGACCCAGGAAGGGCTTGGAAATTGCGATGGACAGAAAACGCAATTGTCCCTGACCAGCAGATCCAGGGTGACATGTTCTCCCACACACCCACTGGTGTCCTTTGGCCTTGAAGGCAGGAAGTGTTAAGGAGCCTCAGTCCTGATGGGGAGGCCAGGAAGGGGCGGGCCTGCCAGGGCTGCACCAAGAGTGGGACTGAGCTGGGGCAGAACCCCAGCCTCTGAACTCCTGGTCTAGGAGTCTCTCCTCCGAGCCGGGGATGGCAGATGGGGAGACATGGGATGCCGCCGCCCAGCTCACGGGACTGGGAAGGAGGGGGAGTAGGAGTCCAGGGCTGAGCTAGTGCCTGGATCATTGGGATGGGGAGGCCCCTTCCCTCCCACCCTTTACAGCCATCTGTCTAGACCTCCTTTCCTGACCTTTGGCCCCTGAGAAGGGGCCAGCAGGCTCCAGGTGCGGTCAGGACAGTGCAGGGAGTAAAGCTCAGAGGACGGAGCCGCCTGCTCCACGTGGAAGCGGAAACCCCCAAATATGTAGAGGGAGTCCGTGGCCTCGTGGTACACGGCAGAATGACCATAGAGACCTGGCCGGGGTTGGGGGAAGGGTGAGAACAGAGATTGGCCGAGGCCTGGGGATCAGGCAGACAGCACCCCCCCGCCCCGCTGCCTTCCTGAGTTCCCCTTCTCATGACCACAACGCCTCCCCAGGCCCTGAGGCCACAGACTTAGGAGACCCTCTCAACCCTCCCTCTCCCTTGAGTTAAAAGGAGAACCATCAGAGTCTGGGAAAGAGGAGAGGGAGACTGGGGTGGCCAGAATATCCTGGGGAGAGTGACCCAAGAATGCAGGAGACACAGAGACAGGAGAACACCTGGGGGACAGAGACCTAGGCCCTGGGGGAGGGAGATGCTGGGCAGGAAGAGGGCAGCTTACCGTGGAGTCAAGGGGAGGGGTGTTAAATAGAGACACTGAACTTCTCATTCTCGAGACGGTACCCTGAGAATCTTGGTAGGGGTCAGCAGGAAGACAGGAGATAACAAGATATGAAGTTGGGGGGTGGGCGGTGACCACAGAGTATGGAAGTGGACAGAGAGCCTACACAAAGCCCCGGATGGCCAGGAGGTCAAAGGCCCCGTGCTCTCCTGTCCCTAGCCCCACCTGTGGGGGGCGTCCCGCTCTGAGCGCCGGACATCCAGGTGCCAGTTGCCAGCTGGTACTCAAAAAGCTGCTGGTTGAAGCCATTCTCAGGGGAGTAGCCGCCCACCAGGAGCAGAGACAGGCCTCGGCGGGCAGTGAGGGTGTGGCCAGCGACAGCAGGCAGTTCCGCAGTCTGAGGGGTCTGAGGGTCAGAGGGCATAGGTCACAGGAGGCCAGAAGTCAGGGGTCATCTTGAGGGTAGAAGAGACTCAGAACTCCCCACACTCTTCCTAAACCCCTAAGGGGACAGTGAGCTGCCCGGGGCTGGTCAGACTGCAGGCCCTCCGACCAGCCCTGCTCCCAGCAGGTGTGCAGTAGACCTCTGGTCATTTCCACCTCCCAGTGTCGCTTCTTCAGTTAAGAGCAGCCTGTGTTCCCTTGGGAAGCCCTTGCCCCTCTGCCCTTGCTCTGGCTGCAGAGGGCTGACTACCTGCTCTACAGGCTGTATCCCAGCCTGTTCGACCATGGCATCATATCCCCCTGGCCAGAACAGAGTGTGACCCAGGGTGGCCAATGAGATTCAATTCTGGGACTTCCGCTGTAGCCCAGGGAGTAAGCCATGTCCTCTGGGGACGAAGTGGTAGGAGCTCCCTGGTCTGGTCACCTGGCCAGAGCCCGGTTATGGGGCCCGAGGGTGGGGAGAGATGCTCACCTTCTCCTGCCGCCACTGCAGGGTGGTCAGGTTGAGGACCCAGAAGTCTCGGGCAATGCCCCCAGCCGTGAGCCCTCCAAGAAGGTACATGGCACCACGGCCAGAGGGCACATAGGCAGCTGCATGGAAGGAGCGGGGTGCGGGGCCTGGGCCCCCGTCCTCAGCTCCTGCCAGCATCTGGGTCCACCGCCACTCACTCACTGAGTACCTGGGACCAAAATGCAAAAAAGCAGCCTCACTGTCCAGTCATCCTAGTATCCCAGCAACCCGAGTGACCCACACCCTCCTCAGTGGGTATCCCAGCATCCTAGCATCCTGTGGGGTGACCCTCCGAAGACAGTCACCTTACCGTCCCCCAGGGTGGCACCACCCACTTAAATAAGTGTCCACCCCTGAGGTGAGCCTCCTATGACAAGTTTCACAGTGTCCTTTGGAGGTGTCCTTTTTATGCACCCCTGAGAGGACTCTTGGGTGACAGACACCCAGCATCCCCTGAGGTGAACTTCTCTCATTCAAGTATCCCACCTCCCCAGGGCAGTTCTCACCTGTACAGGTTTCCCAGCAGCCCCTGGGGAAGGCCCAGGCCCCCAAACATCCACAAAGTGGCATCAGGTCCCTCCACCATGGTATGCCCCAGGCGGTGCAGGAAACGGCTAGCAGTGTCCTAAGGGTGGGGGTGAGGACACCAGGGGTCAGGCTAGGGTCACGACGAAGTGTCAGGCTGAGTACAGGGTCTGGGGGTAGTCCCAGGAGTGGAGGAGGGACAAGGATCCAGGCTGTGGGACACCTCTCCAGACACTAGCCCGCCACAACTCACAGCTGAAAGGCGGCTGTCCATGAGGGTCTCCCAGACCAGCTGCCCACCGTCCAGCTTCGTGGCACAGTTGGGGCCCCCGAAGCCCTCGGCACAGATGCACACACCCAGGCTCTGGGGGACGGCAGGAGGATGCTCAGCAGGAGGCCTGAGCACCACCCCACCCCACCTGGCTCACGGCGTCCCGTCCCTCCCGTACCTGGTTGCAGGTCCCTGCCCCGGTGTGGGCATTGCAGTTTTCAGGACATACAGCCATGCGGCAGTGTGGGCCAACCCAGCCCTGGGGACAGCGGCAGAGTCCAGCACCGGTGGCCCCGTCCTGGGGCACACACTCCTGGGGAACAGGACAGCTCCCAGGGCCCCCTGACCCACAGCGGGCGGAGGCCACTGAAGCATTGAAGCCCCAGGACGAGGAGCCATTGGCCTCCCAGTGCAGCACGAGCAGCCCTGTTGGGAGAGAGGGGCAGAAGCAGGTAGCAGAGCAGAGTCCAGACACTACTCCACCCCCAGGTTTTGTGAAAAACCAGTGTCATTAGTCAGGGAAGCAAGGCACTCGATCATCTATAATCACTGCTAATCACTGCACACCCTCTCCCTTGCCCAGCCCATCAAATTCCAATGGGTTTTTCTTTTTCCCCACTGGTTTTGAAGCCTAACTACCTCTCACGCTCACTCACTGCTGGCCACTTCCTCGGTAGTCTAGCCTGGCCACCAGCGCCATCCCCCACTGGTCTTCCTGGCTCCCGCACACTCTGCCCTTCACAGCGTCCCATGTGATCCTTCAAAAACGCGAACCTGATCCTGTCACTCACAAGCTCCAAACCTTCCACGGCTTGTTACTGTTCTGTAAAACCCAGTTTCCTTAGAAAGAGTTCCAGGGTGGGAGGGTGGGGATTAATGATATGTTAAAAAGTCTCAATAAAGTTATATGGAGAGAAAAGGGGCCTTGCAAGCTTTCTGACCTCGTCACCTCCCCCTCTCAGGCTCTCTGGCTCCTGCTTCTCAGGGCCTGACCACCTGCAGATCTTCCGCCTGGAGGAGTCTCCCTTGCCAACACTGCCCCCTGGAGGCCTTAAGTGAAACTGCTCCTCTGCACAGAAGCCCTCAGGTACTACCCAGATATGCCAGGCTCTCTCTTCCATTTCCTTTTATCCCTCACTATTCTGAGTACACTTTGTTCAATGTCGCACACTCACATGCTGAATCCATGAAGGTGGAGCCTGTACTGCACCCCTAGCATCTAGACAGGCCCAGCTCACCGCAGGTGGGCAGTAAACACTTGGTGAGTGGAAGGGAACCAGGGCCCAATCGGTTCTATGCTCACTGCGAGGGCTCTGCAGGGGCTAACTGCAGCCCCGCCTCTCTCCCCCAGCCTTGGAGCAGCAACTGCTATGGGCAACAAATTATTTCTAGTGCATCGTCATCAACATCAGCTGGGTTTCACAGCCCTGCGGATGAGTCCCAGTTGTGGGGCTGTGCCCCCAATCCTGACAGTCAGCCAAAAGCCCTGAGGACATAATCAGCCCTGGTAGAGAACCCCAGCCTGAGGAGACACTCAGAGGCCCTCACACCGGCTCCTCTGTGTATCCCAAAGACATGTCCCTCTTGGCCTTTCTCTCCAGAGGAGGCCCACTAATATTCTATTTGCCTCTCAGCTGAAGAAACTGAGACCCAGAGGTGGCAAGGGATTGCCTCGCCTAGCAAGTCAGTGGCAGGGCTGGGCTGGGTCTTAAGCCCACCTTGGTCAGCAAGCTGCAGGGGAGCAAGGGATACACAGCCCAGGACAGAGGTCCCATCTCCCCAGTCCCCGTACCAGACAGGGCCTGCACGGTGAGGGGCCTGTCCCTCCGCTGGCCGCAGAAGGCAGCAATGAGGCTACGGTCCGACTGCACCACACCGGTGTCCAGGAAGCGTGGGAAGCCATCAAAGACCAGCACGTAGCTCAGCTGGAGGAGTGCAGAGTTGAGGGTTAGGGGACGCTGAGGATGATGAAGAGGGGTGCTCAGAGTCTGGGAGGAGGAGTTCAAGAGCATGGGCTGTTTGCACCTCCTGGGCAGATGGTCAAACTGTGGTCTAGAGGCCACCAGTCCCCCTCCTGCATTGACAGCAGACGTGGCTAATCAATCAGGTACTCTCACCTGGAGCCTCTTTCTCAATACACAGCTCCTGGAAGCCACTGCCGTTAGTCAGAGCTGACACATAGAATAAATGTTTGCCATGCCTGGGCTGAGGAAGGGGAGTTCGAGGATCTGGGGATTGGAGACTTGGAGTCCGGGTAACAGTAGGTGATCTGGCAAATGGGAGGGTCTGTGGTCTTAGAAATGAAGGGCTGGGGTCGCAGGAACAGAGTTTGGGGTTTGAAGGATGAAAACATGGGAACGTTGGGGGCAGGGTCTGAGTCAGACTGGGAAGGGAGGTGCTGTCTGAACCCTAGAACCCTCGGAGCTCACCGTGCATGGGGTGCTGCTGTCAGGGGAGAAGGTGAGGGTGAGTGGCGGACACTGGGTCCCCGGAGCACAGGGCTGCAGCACCTCGGTGGCCGAGACAACCCACACACAATACAACAGGTCTGGCTCGGCTCTTGCTGCCCCACCCTCTGGAGGCAGCAGCCCGCCAACCCTGCGTGAGCCCAGTGCCACTGAGGACACGTTGGTGAGGAAGGTGCGACCCCCACACTCTAGGAAGCAGGAGCCACCGGCCCTGGGAGACAGAGGAAAGCCAGTGTCAGACCAGTCCCGCCTCATCCCACATCGCCCGGACCCCTACCCCACCTGCCTGGCCCCTGGCTCACCGGGGGTCCCCATAGTAGCCAGGGGAGCAGAGCTGGCAGTGGGCACCCTCAGTGTGGTCCTGGCAGAAGCAGAGCCCGCTGAGGTTGTCACAGTGGCCGAGGCGAGGGTCCCCGTGCTCATTGCACTGGCACGGTCGGCAGCCGCCCGAGCCCGTGGCATTGCCAAAGCTGCCGGGCCGGCACCGCTCACAGTGCTCCCCCCAGGTCCAGTCTGTGAAAGCCCCAGCAGGCAGGATGCAGAGTCAGGGGCGAGGGTGGGAAGGGGCCTGCCCAGCTGGCTCAGCTAACCCCTGACCTCACCTGGCTGCTTCAAAGGAAGGTAACCAGGGCCGACCTGGGAGACTAACAAGGCCCAAGAGTGGGGACTGAGGCCCCGCCAAAGAGGTGGGTACCACTGAAGCCTGTCCGGGGTCAGGAGCAAGCAATGGGGCAGGGGGACCCAGGGCCAGGTGAGGGGCCACTGAAGCCCATGCAGAGAACAGGAAACTGGAACCCCAAGGAAGCTCCCTCGAGGCCAGTCCAGGGGCGTCTGGGAGGAGGGCTGCTCACCCTGGCACTCATCACAGAAGCCAGGCCCTCGTTTGCGGCAGTGGCTGTGGAAGTTGCAACCACAGTCTCGGGAGCAGCGGGGAGCAGGGGGTCCCGGAGCAGGCGTGGGTGGGGGCAGATCAGACGTCCAGCCCAGGTCGCACACGCAGGTGAAGTCAGGGGGGCCACTGCACACACCGTGGCCGCAGTCCTCCAGGCACCTGAGGGGCCATGGCAGGGGTGGGGGAAGGGCTGGGCAGGCCCAGACTCCCCAAGGCATCCCTCTACCCCGCTCTGCTCCATCATCTCCATGGCAACACCATTGCAAGCTACTGCCCACTGGTCCAGGACTACATGGGTGGCCCTGTCTCCAAGGTAACCCCATCGCACGTGGTTACTTCTGTCTCTATAGTAACCATATATCACCACTAGTGATCTGTTCTCTATGAAAACCCCTTTTCAACTTGGTCCTCCTCCATCTCCATGGCAACTCTGAAGACTATGGCCCACAGTCTATGGGTAACCCGTCTCCACAGTAACTGGCATTACGCTGGGGACCCTATCACTGTAATGAGGACCTAGTCTGCAAGGTAGAACCTGCGGCTCAATGCAGGTGCTGGTCCATGGGAAGGGTTCCCCCACCCAGATCACTTCCTCCCTCCATTGCCACATGTCCCAGCCCGGGGCAATGTCTCCATGGAAACCCAGTCCCACTCACGTGCGGTTGCAGTATGTGATACCATCTCCCTGGTAGCCCCGCTGGCAGTGACATTCGTAGCTGAGGGGCGTGTTCAAGCAGGTGGCCCGAACGTGGCACCGTGCCAGGCCCAGGCGACACTCATCCACGTCAGGACAGCGGGCATACGCCCAGCGGGCAGGGAGGGCCACGGGCAGCCCCAGGCCCTCCCCCACCCAAAGGGAGCAGTTACCCCCACCCAGGGGCCCAGAGAAGTCCCCCTGGAGGCACCTGGTGGGGGGGGATTGAAGAAAGTGGCGGAGTGGGAAGAGATGACAAAGATGCAAGAAACAGAAACAGCGACGGGGAGAGAGGAGGCCAATCAGAGAGAAAAGTAAACATGGGGAGAGAAACCGGAGAAGAAATACAAGTGGTGGCGAGAAACCAAGAGAAGTCAGACATGAGTGATTTTGACAGACAGGAGACACAGGGATACAGTGAAAGGGAGTGACAAGGAGACAGAACCAGAAAGTCAAGAATACAGACACAGAACGAAAGATGAGAGAAAAGAGTGGAGAGAAATGAGGGAAAAGGGAAGAGGAGAAAACAGACAACGGTCAGGAAAAGGCAGAGAAACGGCACAGCTGTTAGACCGGGGGCCGAGGAGAGCCGCCCGCCCCACACCCCGCCCTCCCCCTGCCCCTCCTCCCCGGCCTCACCGCCCCAGCGTGGGGTTGTCCTCGTTGCCGCACCAGCCACACTCATGGCTCTGCAGACACTCGTGGCAGGTCAGGAAGCGGTCGCAGCTCCGGCACCGTGGCTCTGAGTGCACGCTGCAGAGCGACAGTGAGGGGGGTGTCCGAGCCCAGCCCCCCGCCTGCCTCCGCCTTCCCCTCTGTGAGCCCCGCCACCCAGCCATCACCCCGACCGCACCTGTCGTCCCAGCCTCGGCAGCCCCCATACGGGTACCGGGCCAGGTAGGCGGCAAACAGAAAGCAGGTGTGGGTGGACTGGCACCAGGCGCACTGGCTTGAGTTGGCCAGGCAGTCCTCACAGGTCAGGCGCCTGGGGGTGAGGAGTAGGGTCGGGGTCACGCCACGGCTGGTCTGTACACCCCCCACGCCTGCTCCCGGGGCCAGAGGGGCTCACTCGCTGCAGAGCGGGGGACACTCCTCCAGGCTCTTCAGGGCACCACGACCGCGGCCCCGCCGGCTACACGCCGCATCCCCTTTGCGGTTGGTGCTCTGATGCCACTCACAGAAGGGGTCCTGGGGGTCACAGAAGACCCCAGCTTAGCCCTGTCCCTTGGGCTCCCAGTGTCCTGCCTCCCACACCTGCTCCACCCCCGAGACCACCCCTCTGAGCCCCCTCCCTCCCCAACCGCCTGCCTCTCAAGACTCCCTTTCAGCCAACAACATCCATGGCGTCTGCCTGCCCAGCACCTGCTCCCTTTTGGGCACTAGCGCCCCTCTGTAAGGTCAAGGTGGGGTTGGTTCAATCCCGGCCTCCTTGACTGGTCCTAGAGCTCGCATGAGACCCAACCAGAGCGAGTAAAATGCTCTCCTGGAACGTCTGTTGACGTGGAGGGTGAGTGGGGTGGGGGGGACAGCAAGGTGCTTTCTCTCCACTTGGCTGAGTGGGGAACGAAAGTCTGGAGCCTGTGGCTCCCTCGCCACCCGCAGGCGTTGACCCTCCAGGAGAGCACAGTGTGAACTGCCGGGCATCTCAGGCCTGAACACCTGCTCTGGGGCCCTGCAGCCTGAGCCCACGAATGCTCCTCTGGTGAAGAGGCTTCAGGTTGGGTTTTCCGGCCCCCATGACAGGGAGAGTCCCAAGTGCCAGCCCTCCCCTGTGCTCCCCACTGAGCTCTTGCCTGCAGATCGAAGATGACGGCTCCAGCTCTCTCCCCCTGCAGCCGCCCATGGGGCCCCTCCCACACCCCCGGATGCTTTGGCTGCCTCCAACTTGAAAGCGCCCCTCTGGGGCCTGGCAGGCACCTGGGTGCAGGCGTGGCAGTCGCGATGCTCCTCACAGAGGGGGCAGAGGGCAGGCACCAGCACCAGCAGGGACCCGTTGGCCCCACTGTCCCCGCAGTGGGCCCCACTCTGGCGCAGGTGGCAGGTGGCGCTGGTCAGGCACCAGCCACAGCCCTGGTCGGCCAGGCAGCCCAGGCAAGAGGAGTAGGAGGCGCAGGCCGCTGAGCGGTAGGGTTCCAGGAAGAAGAAGGAGATCTCCTGAGGGAGGGGCACGGGAGGTCAGGGGTCTGTGCCCCAGCTTGGGGGTCAGGGGTAGAGGTTTGGGTCAGAGTTTGGAGCCAAAGGCTTCAGTGTTTAGAGACAAGGTTGAGAACTCAGGCACACAGGCACACACAAGGTCAGGATTTAGGCCATCAGCAGACAAAAACGGGACCAGAGTTTGAAACAATCTAAAGATCAGAGGTCAAAGTATGAAGGGCAGAAGTCAGAGACAGTGGGGTCAGGGCAGGGCAGGGGTTGGAGTAGCAGGTCAGAGTCTGAGGGTCAGACCCTGGGGTGTGGAGGGTGCAAGGGCTAGTCCCGAGTTCAAAAGCCCAGGTTCGTTGCCAGGGGTTCGGAAAGCCCAGGGCCCCTGGGGCCCGGGGCCGAGTACTCACACTGCCCCCAGGCACGCCGGTCCGGTCCCACAGCAGCGTGAGCTCGCTGTGCCCAGGGCCTGCCGAGCCGTTGAGCTGGCCCCGCACCTCCACCGCATACTTATGGCTCCGGCCAGGCAGCGGGAAGAGGCGGGCGGCCCCCGGGCGCTGCAGCCGCCTCGTCTCTTTCTCCTGCTGAGCCACCCAGCGCCCCACCTCCTCCTAGGGTGGGGTGAGGACAGACAGGGGCCTCAGGACCGGCCACAGCCCCCAGCCCCAGAAACCTCTGAGCACTTCAGACCCACCTAGCAGCCTCCTCCTCCTGGGAAAAAGAGGGGCACGGCTCCCTGGTCTCTGAGAACCTCCAAGTGTCCCCAAAGCCACCAGTGACCCTCCTCCTCCTCAGGGGAATCTGACTTGCTCAGACAGACCTCCCCCGCCAAAGTGTGTCCACGGAACACGCCAGGGCTCTCCCTCCACTGAGGACACATCTCCCAGCTCTGGTTCCTCCCCGTCCCCCTGCACCACACACCCCCGCCCCCTGGACTGGCCGTGAACCGCCCTCTGAGTGCCCCAGGCTCCCTCACCATGTTCTCTGTGTCGGGGCCACGGGCCATCTGGGCCAGGACGCGTAGGCGCTGGGCCCGGGCCCACACGGCCACGTCCTCGGCCCCTGGCCCGCCAGGCCCTCCCGGAAGCAGCGGGTGGATGAAGCCACGGTAGACCAGGGACACGTCGGTCTCTGGGCTGGGTGTCAGGGTGATGGTTGTGCTGCGGACGATCAGGACCTGTGCCGGCCGGGGACGGGTGTGCGTGAGAGCTCCGCGTGGCCTGTGGTCCGCACCCCTCAGGCCACAGCAGAGCCAGAAACAACCAGGCAGCTCCACCTCCTTCCTATTTCCCGGAATGAAAGACGCCCTGGCTGGTGTGGCTCAGTGGGTTGAGTGTGGGCTGCAAACCAAAGGGTTGCCACTTCGATTCCCGGTCAGGGCACATGCCTGGGTTGTGGGCCAGGTCCCTAGTGGGGGGCTGCGTGAGGGGCAACCACACACTGAGGTTTCTCTCCCTCTCTTTCTCCCTCCCCTCCCCTCTCTCTAAAAATAAATAAATAAAATCTTTAGGAAAAGAAAAAAAAAAAGAAAGCCTGAGGCCAGGGGAGGGGAGGCTGTTCACCCGGGGCCACTCTGGGAGAAGAGTCAGGGCACCAAGTCAGAAAGCAAAGGACAGGGTCTGGGCCCGGCTCATCGCCACCCCTCATGAAACATCAAGATCCTCTTCCCAAACGGCCCACCTTTCCACCTGGGCCCTCAGGAGTCCCGACCAAAAAATGAAACAGTATCACTTCACTACGGGGTTTGGGAAACCTCCGGGTTAGCAAACGCACCCATGTGCCGAGGGTGTCGCACCCCCACCCCTCGGGGACAGAAGCCCGGGTGCTCAGAGCCCGGGACCACACCCTACGCACCATATCCTCCGTTATACAGCAACCAACTACGTAAGGTTCTTTTTTAAAGGAGATCCCAGATACACCATTCAAAGTCATGGACATATGACGTGATCTATTGCTCGTATGTGTTTCTGTAATTGCAAATGAATGGAATGGCCCGGTGCTCATCGAGGGAGACATTTCCTCAGTTCTCTGGTGGGAAGACTGCCGGGGTGTTAAGACGAAAAGGAAGTAGTAATATAGTGTGGGTGCTAAACCACTTTTTTTACAAGAAAGAAACATGATTGAAAGTCACTTTTACTTGTATTGGAATAAGTAGACTCTGGGAGGAGATAAAAGAAATCTGAACAGGTCTCGGGGGGAAGTAGGGTGGCCTTGAGTTGGGGGTGTGGGCGCCACCTGCCCACACTGCGGAGGTGGGGAGTGGGTCGACGGGAGAGACATGCGTGATGTTCACAGCAGCACTATTCACACCAGCAAAACCGTGGAAACAACCCACTTGCTTATCTGCTGACGAATGGGTATGGCATGGCCAGGCAACGGAAGATTACTCAGCCATGAAAAGGAACGGCGTTTTGATACACGCAACACACGAATGAGCCTCAGAACCATCATGCTCAGTGAAAGAAGCCAGCCATATTGTATGATTCCCTTTATATGATACGTCTACAGCTGGCAAATCCAGAGACAGAAAGCAGATGAGGGGTGGCCAGATGCCAGGAGAGGGGGGACTGGAGGGACTACTTCATGGTAACTTCTGAGGTGACAAGAATGTGCTGACCCTAGATCACAGGTGGCACACACCAGGCCCGCAGGCCCCCCACCGTGTTTCATCCGGCGGCAGCACCGAGCTCTGGCTTAACTATTAAGGAGTAGTTACATTTACACAGTCCTAAAATTACATTGGGCCCTTTGAAGGCAACCGCGAGGCTGATGTGGCCCCTGTGAAAATGAGTTTGACGCCCTGCCTCAGATAGTGATGACAGCTGCACAATAACGTGAGTTCTAAATGTCACTAATGGTAAATGTTATGTTATGTGTGTTTTACGTGACTTTTCAAAATGTTTTTAACTCAATAAGGAAAATCAGACCCTTGAATGTAAAGACCTACAGAGTAAACATGAGAGTGAAAAAGATCCATTTGGAAAACTACAACCCGAGGACCAGCCCTTCAACACTCGCATTGGGCCCCGCCCCCAGCTCCCCACCTTGTCGGGCTGGGAGGCATTGGGCGGCTGCTGGAAGGTGAGCAGGTGCAGGCCAGGCAGGAAGCTCTGGGTGACGCAGGCCTCCAGGGAAGTGACGAAGACAGGTGTGGGCCCCCACCAGCCCACGGTGCCCGAGATCTGCTCTCCTCGGCAGCGGGACTGCTCTGTGAGGACAGGAGGGTGGAGGTGGGGTCAGTGTGGGGTGCAGCGCCGTCTCGTCCCCGCCCACACTGCCGCGCTGGTCACTCACCGGGCAGAGGGAGGCAGCTCTCATTGTGCACGCACCAGCCCAGGGCACCGGGCCCCCGGGGAGGAGCTGCCAGGCTGCTGAAGGCCAGGCAGGCCTGACAGTCGCCCAGGAGACGCCCCAGGCCCAGGCAGCTGGCAGCTGGACACTGCAGGGAAGGAAGGGAACAGGGGTCAGTGTGTGCACTGGGGCTTAAGGGATCTGGAAAGGGCTGCGAATTCAGGAAATTAGGGGTAGAAGGGGTCAGGAAATTGGAGAAGAGCATTGAAAGCCAATTTGAATGAGGAAAAGGTCAAAAGGCAGGGCCCGGGGATGTGGGTACAGATGAGTTGAAAAGGGTCTGGGAGAGGGTCAAAGTTCAAGGGGTCAGCAGTCAGGAATCAGGGATGCTGATCTTGGATGTGAAAACAAGTCTCCCCGGTGTGCAGGGAAATCCTTCTCCACTTGGTTTCAGCAGAGGGAGACACTGAGGGCTGGTCTCTGTGCTAGGGGGCAGGGCCAGGACAGTCACTCACAGCCCCCGAGGGGGTACCAGGAGGCAGTGCGGCTTGGCAGGCCCCCTGACACCAACTGCATTCAGGGTCTCGAGAGCAAACACTGTGGTCCGTGTACATGGAACAGTAGTCCAAGTGGTACTGCAGAGAGATGGGGGCGGACACGGGGGCTCCTCACACAGGAGCCTGCTTCCCACATTCCCACTCACACTGATCATCCTAGGGAACCCCGAGTGCTCCCCAAGGACCCCATCTAATCCTCTTCCAGTGCCAGGGACCACACTGCTCCTTTGCCCTCCACCCCAGGGACCTCCATTCCTCCTCCCCTGAACCTGGGAACCAACGTCTCTCCTCTCATGGCCCTGAGGACTCCCCGAGAACCCCAACTTGCTCCCTCATCTGTGGGAACCACACCACCCTCTCCCCATCACCTCAATACTCACATCTAGAGCACGCGTCTGGAACACAAAGGGAGGAACCTTGTAGGCCATCAGGTCCCCACGGGGCCGGCCACTGTACCCACCAGCCACCAACAGGACGCTGCCACCGAGCACAGCTGCCACATGTGAGTACCGACCACTCGGAGGCACTGCTCGGCCTAGAAGAATACAGACCCCTAGGGCACGGGGCCCCCAAACTCCCTACCACCTTCATGGCTCCCCTGCTGAGACTACCACCTCTGGCTCTCCCAAGCCTCAGCCCAGACTCCTGGATCCTGCTTAAACCCTCCTGCCCACGGAAGCCCCCGGGCCAGCCTGGCCCTGCACCGGCTCCAGTCCTTTCTCTCCTGGGAATCCCACAGCCCCAGCCAAGCTACCATTCAGACCATGATCTTTGGTTCAGAAAAACTTGGGTTTAAATCCTGGGTTTAACATTTACTGGGGTTCAAATCATGGGTCGACTACTAACCAGCTGTGTAGCGCTGGGCAAGAGACCCAACATCTCTGAGTCTGGGTCCCCTCCTCTATGAATGGAACCGTCACCCTGCCCTTGGGGAGCTGCCTGGCTCTCACCTGTTTTTGTCTGCCTGGCATTAGCCTCCCTTCTGGTGACAGCCTCTGATTTTCCCCTAGAAAACCACTTTCTCCCTCTCCCAGGCCACAAGGCGCAAGCCACGCCAACCCTACCTCTGGCAGAAGCAGGGCTTTAGCCCAGGCCTATCAGTGTCAGTGACTAGTTCAGGGATGTAACTCAAGTCCTACAGTCCTTGGGAAAGAAGAACATGCTCTTCCCTCTGGGCATTTGAAAGGGTGGAATATCACCCCAGAACCTCTGGCGACCACCTACAAAAGGCAAGCCTGACAGAGACTGAAGTAAACCCAGCCAAGAACTGGAGAGCGATATGGCTAACACCGTCCTGTGAGCACCTGGATCCAGCCCAGCCGGAACTCACTCAAATTAGCCAAGAAATTCTCCCTTTTGCTTAAGCTAGTTGGGCTGGATTTCTACCACTTAAAACCAAGAGTCCTGCCCCGGCTAGTGTGGCTCAGGGGATTGAGCACCAGCCTGCGAACCAAAAGGTTACAGGTTCAATTCCCTGTCGGGACCCAAGCCTAGTCTGTGGGCCAGGTCCCCAGCTGGGGGCACTCGAGAGGCAAATGACTGATGTATCTCACGCATGACTATTTCTCTCCTGCTCGTCCTCCCTCCCTTGCCCTCTCTCTACAAATGAATGAATAAAACAAAAAACAAGAGTCCTGACCAATAGGAAGGTGGCCAGTGATTGGCGACTCCCCCACCCTCTCACTGAACCTGAATGCTCCGTAAGCACATGGGACTCGGCCCAGGGAATCACAGGCCACAGAGGAGGAAGAGGCCTCCAGGAACCTCATACTCTCGCCTGCCCAGTCCAGAGGGTCCCAAAGGAGGGACAGGGACAGGGACAGGCAGAGGAGTCCTGGACTGGAGAGTTCAAAGGTCAGGCCCAGGCTTTATTCCTGATGGGCTGGTGAGAACAGAGAGGCCTCTGGGAAGTCCTAGTCCCCTGAACGGTGTGTCCGCTTTGTGCATACAAATGTTTTCCTGAGAGGGGGCCTGTGGCTTTCTTCTGATTCCTAAAGCAGCCTCTGACCTAAGGAGCTGGAAAGGTTCTCCACGCCCGGGGCCGGTGGGGCTGTCGTTGCTGTCAGAAAGACGCCGCGTGGAGCCCTTCACCAGGCTGTCCTCAGTCTTCAAGCATGATCTCAGTTTATTCTCACAACAGCCCAGTGGCTTAAGTGTTACCATCATCCCCATTTTACAGATGGGGAAGTCGAGGCACCGAAATTAGATGACGGCTTTTGCACAGAGAGTTCTTTGGAGCCAGCAATCCTGGTTTTGCCACTTGCCCACACGGTGTGACTTCGAAAAAGTCATCTCTTCGTGGGCATTTCCCCTGGGCAGCTAGAAACTGGCGAACCTGAACTGGAGCCTAGATCTGATGCTGCTGTAACTACCTCCCATCTCCATGGCAACGATGCCCTAGTCCTGGGTGCAGCATGGGCTCGCCTCCCGAGATAGCTCCAACAGGAGGGCTGGCTCACCCTGACGAGGACTAAGGTGCCTCCAGATTCACTGCTGGGGGGGAGTATGACCATCAGGAGCCCCGCAGGCAGTCAGAGGGGCCACTCACCCTCAGGGGTTCCTGGAGGCGCAAGCTCAGCCCCCGACACCCACTGGTGGCAGCCCAGGTGGTAGAAGAAGATGCCGTCTTCATAGCACTTCTCCTCCTGGTAATGGGTGTGCACATTGCCCCCTGGGAAAGGAAGAAAGGGGCACAGCTAGCAAGGCTGGGGGAGGTGGGGCCGCCCACGCAAGGAGCCTCAGCTCAGGGTTGGATGGACCCCTGGCCGGCAGGCAGGCAGGGAGCCTCCTCACCATAGACCACCATGTAGTTGCCCAGGACACTGGCCGTGTGGAAGGCCCGCTCCCGCGGGCCCTGGAGCCCATCCCGGGCCTTCAGGGTGGTCCACACGCGCCGATCCACATGGAACAGCTCCGTGGAGTTCACCCGCACGGAGAACCTACGGAGGAGGCAGAGCAATGGCTCAGGGCAGGGAGGCCTCTGGCTGTTAAGAGCTGTGTGCTCACTCGGGGCTGAGACCGGCTGGGACAGGGCTTATGTCCCCTCAGAACTAGAAGCTCCTGTGGCAGGACCCAGGGTGGGCTCCTACCTGGGTACCCTGCATAACCCAGCTAGGGCTGGACACCAAGCAGGGGCTGGTGCAATGGACAGACGGTGGAAGTGGGGGGGGGGGCAGCAAGGGACCAGGAAATCGAGGGGGAGACCAGGTGCGAGACGGAACGAGAGCGCGACTGAATGAGGGAAGGGGCCCGCCAGCGGGCGAAGACCACGAATGGTGCAGAGCAGAGGCTGTGGGGCAGGCAGGCCGCTCACCGGGCAGTGGAGGGCCGGTGTCCACCGTGGACCAGCAGAGCTCGGGATGGGGCGTGGAACACCATGGAGTGGCCGGCGGCGGCAGGGGGCCGCCCGCCCGCTGGAGTCACCTGCTCCCACCAGCCCCCACCGGTGCGGCCGAGGCGGAAACGGAAGAGGCCGGAGGAGAAGAGGCCGTGCCGGGTGCGGCCCCCAGACACGTAAAGCCAGATGTCGTCCACTAAGGCAGCCGCGTGACCTGCCAGGCCTGGGGGCCCCGAGGAGCTAGAAGCCGGCGGTGCCAGTTGCTCCCAGTGGCCCCCGCCCAGCGGGCTAAAGGCCCACACGTCGCTAGTGAGGGAGCCGTCGGCCAGCTCGCCACCCATCAGCACCAGGGAGCCGGCCCAGGCCACGGCCACGTGAGAGTGACGGGCAGCCTGTGAGGAAGAGACCAGGAGACAGAGATGGAGAGGAAAACAGACGGTGACACAGAGAATGACAGGGAGGGCCAGACGCAGACTCAGAGACAGAGAAAGACAGAAACACAGAAAGGAAGACAGGCAGACAGAAGGTGAGACAAAGACAGATACGCACGGAGAGAAGAGAGACAGACCCAGAAAGACGGACACGCGTAAGAGGAGACGGAGAAACAGAGTAAGGAAGGTGGTATCAGGGAGACGGAAGTAGGAGAAATGACAGAAACAGAGACACAATCCAGACACGAGGAGACACGGGGATCCCAGAGTCAGAGATGAAAACAGGGAGATGGACCGAGGGACAGGCAAGAGACACACAGAAAGATAAGTTGCAGAAAGGCATATGAAGGAAGACAAAAGGAAATCTGAGCCCTGGCTGGTGTGGTTCAGTGGATTGAGCACCAACCTGCAAACCAGAGGGTCACCAGTTCCATTCCCAGTCAGGGCACATGCCTGGGTTGTGGGCCAGGTCCCCAGTAGGGGGCGTGTGAGAGGCAACCACACACTGATGTTTCTCTCCCTCTCTTTCTTCCTCCCTTCCCCTCTCTCTAAAAGTAAATAAATAAATCTTTTTAAAAAGAAAAGGAAACCTGAGACAGCAGAAATGAAAGGGTACTGTTCCTCTCTCAAGTTGCAGGCTGGGGCGACTACGGGGTAAAGGGGTGGCTCTGAGGGGCCCTTGCTGGGACTGACAAAGTGGGCAGGTGCCTCCAGGCAGGGCAGAGGCGGGGTCCATACCGGGGCAGGACTCAGGTCCCAGCGCTCCCAGGCGTTGGCAGAGAAGTTATACAGCACGAGGTCACCCAAGGCACTGTTGAGGTCCTGGCCTGTGGAAGGCGGGTGGTCTCCAGCCCTGGCCACAGGCTGCCAGGCCTCGGGGCTGCAGGCGGACACCCCATCTACTCACCCCCGAAAACGGCCAGCAGTCCTGGTGGGGCCAGGAAGGCACCGGCGGCCCCAACGCGGGCGGAGAAGGCAGGGTCCCCGGCACTCACGTTGTGCCACCAGCCGGCCCCCTGGTTCTCCCGCAGGTGCAGGTCACATGCACGTCCCAAGAAGCCAGACTCACATCGGCACGGTCCTAGGGGCTGGGGGGAAGGGACACAGGCAGGGGACGGAGCCAGAGAAAGAGACAGGGAGATGGGGAAGAGAGACAGAGCCAGAGTGAGACACACAGGGCGGAAAGGGAGGGGAGAGAGATGAATGGGGAAAATAAATAAATAAATAAATAAATAAATGGTGACAGAGAGGCAAAAAGAGAGATGGAAATAGGAAGGAAACAAACCAATAGACAGAGGAAGAAAGCGACACAGAAACACAACCAGGGGAGGCAGAGAGGTGGTAGAGGCAAGAAGACAGACCAAGAAAAAAAAAGAAAAAGGCCCAGAGAGAAAAATGAGGATAGACAGAAAACAGATGGGCAAAGATGGTGAGGCCCACGATGGGGAGGCCCGTGTCGGCCTGAGCTGGGAGAGCTCGGGTCTGGGGAGGTCAGGGCAGGGAGGGCGCTAGGTGTGATGCAGTCCCAAAGACCCACACGCATGCCTTAGGGCCAAAGACAGTGGCAGTCAAAGTCAAAGTCATGGCTCAGGGCCCAAGGCCAGACGGAGTGGCTGAGTGGGTGGGTGGAGTCAGGACTGGCGAGAGGAAGCAGTGTGGGTTCACAGGTGAGCGGTGCCTTGTGGACGAGAACAGCAGTGGACTCAGGCAGGGGAGGGGCCCCAGGCAGAGGTGGGGTGGGGCTGCAGTCACAGGTGGGGCGGCACCTGGAATGCGAGGGCAGGACTGTGGATGAGAGCAGGGGCGCTGGTGGGGGGTCAGTGCCATGGCAGAGGGTGGGGTGTCAGGCGGAGTCAGACAAGGGCAGAGTCAGATCCAGAAGATGGGAGCAGCAAGTGTGGACACAGGTCGGGACCCCAGGGGGACGCAGTTGGGGGCGGGCTCACCGAGGCGCAGGTGCCATGGCTGCCACAGTAGGCTGAGCACTCCTGCAGGCCACAGTCAGGGCCCCCCCAGCCCGGCTCACAGGCACACACCCCAGGGGGCCGGCACTGCCCACGGCCGCGGCAGCCCCCCGGGCACAGGGAGAAGCGGAAGGAGGCATTGAAGCCCAGCAGGTTGTAGTTGGCATCGCTGAAGAGGTGCAGCAGCATCTGTGGGCACAGGTGGGCAGGGTTCCGGGACCTGATTGGGAGGTGGTCCGCTCCTGTCCCACCCCCACCCTGGATGTCCCCACCGCCTTTCTTTGTCTTTCTCCACCTTTCTCTGTCCCTGTGTCCTGCCTGATGCCAGGTCCCTCCTGCTGTCTCTCTCTCCCTCCCTGGGTGCATCTACCCCCTTTTGCCCCACACTGCACTGAGATCCTCCAGCCACAGTCCACAGCCCAGCCCCACCGACCTTGCCCGAGGAAGCCTCAATGGGTGGGGGCCGGGTGCTCCCACTCAGACTGGCAAGCAGGGGCCCTCGGGGGGAGTCGCCGTCATACACGAACAGGTAGTCGTACGTGCACTCCGTGTCAAGGAATAGGAAGTCCAGGAGGATCCGGTGCTGGGGGCTTGGTGCTGGGTGGTGAAAACAGAGCGGCCAGGCTCCCGTGTGGACCCCTCTCCTCACTCCTCCACGCGGACCACCCACAAACACCAAAGCCTGCTCTGCATAACGAGGAGGCCCGAAGGTGAATGGGTCTGCGCCCTGCCTCGGAGGGGCTTCTGGTCTCACAGCCCAGGGAGGTCAGGGCTCAGGCAAGGAATTAGAGTGTCTGCCCTGAAAAGGGCTCCTGATATCAGGCTGAACACCGGCCATGGTTCAGATGGGAAAATGGACATAGTGAGAGAGGAAGCCCATCCCAGGGATCAGATAGAGCTGTTCCATTCACTCTTGAGCCTCAGACACACTCGGGCCTGGGGTTAGGGCCCAGGCCCAGGCAGAGAAGCATACTCCCAGATGGAAAAGGGCCTGTCTTCTCCCTGGAGGAAAGCCAAACTTGAAAGCACCGCAGCTCCCGTCTGCCCCGCCCGGGGTCTCACCTCTGGTTATTGTGGTACCCGAGGGCTCAGACTCTGCAGCCAGACTGCACAGGCTCAGATCTTAGCTCTGCCGCTTACTAGCCACTAGCTATGTAACCTAGAGCAAGTTGCCTAACCTCTCTGATCTGTTTCTTCTTCGTAAGTGAAGATATAACGGCACTGCGGTAGATTCCCACTTCTTGGCCACTCCTCCCATTGATTGGTGAGGGCTAATGCCGTGTCCCTTGTACCTGGGAAAAGCCTCAGAGACTAGCTTGACCAATGTACAGCAGCCGAAGAGGCATTCTGGGACTTCTGAGGCTAGATCAGAGGAAGCTTTGCAGCTTTTCCCCGGGCCACGTAGAGTTCCCCTTCTCAGAACACAGCTGTCACACTGTGAAAAGCCAAAGCCACATGAAGGGGCCACAGGTGGGCGTCCCGGCTGACAGTCGGCATCACCTGCCAGCCCTGAGCAGGAGCCTTCTGGGATGTCCAGCCCAGGTGAGTGAGGGTGCAGATGCCCACAGCCCCAGCTGACACATGAGCGCGCCTGAGTGAGAGGTGATAATGCGCATAAAGCACTTAATGGGGCCTGGCACTTCCTAAGTGCCACTATTCCTAGCACTGTCACTATTCTTGCTCTCTGCCAGGTCCTGGTTCCAGAAGGTCCCCTCATCCCATATCTCACACAAAGGGCTCAAGGAAGTCTTCTGGGCCAGTGAAACCAGACCTGAGTTGCACCTCTGCTCCTGACCTGCTGGAAGACCCTGGACCAGCCGTTTCACTCGCTCACTGTGGGATCTTAGGCCACTGTCATGGGCTCTCTGAGCCTCAGTTCCCTTCATGCAGAACGGGGATGAGTCTTTGCATCCACTAGGCTGCTGCGGAGCTCTCGTATGGTGGCTCTAGGGCACCAGCCCAAGCCGTGCCCTTGCACCAGGACCACTGACCAACACCTGCTTCCTGGCCTCCCAGCCTCCATCCTGCCCCGACATGGATCCAGAGCGATCCTCCCAACTTGACATCTGGCCTGGGCCCTCCCCTGCTCACAAGCCCTCATGGCTCCCACCATTCCCAGGAGAAAGTCTAGCTCTCTACCCGGTCTCACATCACCCCACTGCTCGTAGCTCTGTCAGCAGCTGGGCCTTTGCACATGCTTCTCCCTCTGCCTGGAGCACATTCTCCCTTCCTGCCAGCAAGCTTCCCCATCTCCTCCAGAGAGCTTTCCCTGATATCCCCTGGCTGGGTTAGGTGCCCCTCTCGGGGGTTCTCACCTCCCATTCTTCTGGGACCACCTGTGTCCAGAAGGCTCACAGGGAAGGGCCTGGGACTAACTCATCTGGGGTCCCTCCTCAACATTGCCCAGCACAGAGCCCAGCACTGAGCAAGGGCTCAGGAAATTCCAGAGGAAGGAAAGAGGAAACCCACAAAAGCCAAAAGGCTGAAGTTGGCAGCTCTCCCTGAGGCTCCGACCAGAGCCCTGGAGAACAGCACAGCAGACCCCAGCCTTGGTCTGGAGAACGCAGAAGAACCATTCAGCCAGACCAGACAAGAACTGCCAGCCTTACCAGCCTCAAACAGACTGTAAAGCCTAAGACAAGTATATCTTTGTTAAGTGCCAGCCAAAGACAGGCCCACCATCTGCTTTCCCCAAGTTCCTCCCTAAGTTCAAGGTCTCCTTTCTCCTAACTCAACATGGGCCCAACGCCCATGCCATCCTGAACAGAGATCCAACCACAAAACCCCTGCTTTTCAAAAGCAAAAGCCTCTTTTCATGAAGATGAGGACGAGGTACAACAGAGTGTGAACATCGTACAAAATTAAGTGATGCAGTGGTTTCTTTCTTCAGCAGATAGGGGAACATGTTGATTCTTAGAGGTGCGAGGCATTGGGAAGAATGGGAGATCAAGGGGGGGTTTGGAAGTCTCCCAGACTCCTCCCCACTCCAACATCCAGCCAGTTGGTCCCCCAGTCTCACTGGTGAAACTTCGCAAACATCTACCAGTACTCTTTGTGCCTCTCCACCTCCTTAGCTCCTGCCCCAGTCAGAACTCACCCTCCCCTGCAAGACCAGCACACCAGGTCCCCAGTCCACCCCCACCCAGCCTGAGAGTGAAGCCCCACCCCTGCTCAAAATCCGCTGTGGCTCCTCTTCAATCCCAAGAGCAAAGCCAAGCTGCCCAGCGGGACACTTAAGGCCCTCCTTCCCCCTGCTTCTGGTACCCTCCTCACCTTCCAGCCAACAGGCCAGACAAACCCATACACGGCTCCTGATGATACAGGGTGCAGCCAAGAGCGGGGCCCCAAAAAGGGATTTGGAATGATGTCCAGAACTCAAGGTGTCTAGGAATTATTGGAGAGACATATAAGATGTCCTCATCCCTTCCCCCACAGGTGTGAGTTGGGGGAAGGGACACATGGAGCAGGAACATGCAGGGCTGTTTTGGACAGCCACAGCCTTGCAGCTAATCCATGGCAGGGTCATTTAACATATCTTTAGCCTTTGGTGGGTCACTTGGATATGTTAAATGGCTGTGGCCAGGCTTGGAGCCAGGGGGATGAAGTTACTTCCTCCCAAGATGTATCTGGGGGGCAGGTCCCCTGAGTTACAGTGCCTACATGGGAGCTTGGAGAAGATTGGCTCCAGGACATGGGGCCATACCTGTCCAGACTCACGATGGCAGCCCAGTAAACTTGCAATAATATAGAAATGCTGGCAGGTGTAGCTGATTGTGGGAGGAGTCAAAAATAGGGGTACAGAGGAAGACTGGCGCGGGGATTTAAACCCAGACATGGCAGCCATTGAGGGAGAGCCACGAGGTTTTGGGCAGAGTGAGGACCCCCTCTAGGCCAGGTAAAGAGGGAACCACGCGGCTTTGCCAGAGTGGGGACTCCTGCAGCCAGGTGAAGAAGAAAGCCATGCACTTTTGGTGGAGTACAAACCCCTGCAGCTTTGGTAGAGGAGGCCCACGCGGCTTTGGGTGCTCCCTTTGGCCGCACGGCCTGGGAAGCAGGAGAGACTTTGCCTGGAAAAATGGGTACAAAGAACTCTTGCCAGTGGACAGTGAGAAGGTGCCACATGACTTTGGATAAATTGGAGATCCTGCCTGGATGGTGACACAGCTGAAAGTGCCAGCAGCCTGAAACACGGACATGTGCTCTTTTCCTGAGTTACGGTACCCCAAATTAAGGCAGGGGGAGAAGGGAGCACTGTGTGAGTAGGTGGATATCCTAAAGGACTTTGATATTTTAATGAAGACGCTGGGTTACTAAGTTAGGTCTGAATAGCATTAAATAAACATTTCCTTTTCACAAATCTCTGGCATTGAGAGACGCCTTTCCAATTGGCGACGGACCATCGAGCCCAGTAGGTGGTCTGGACGGTATTAGTATACCATCCTCTGGAGTCTGGGCCCCAGTGTATCTGTTCTGTAACAGTTTTTGGCGTCCCTGGGTGGGCCAAATATTGCCCCCCTTGGACCTCTGTTCGGTAACACTGAGACACATGGAGGCTGTTCCCTTTTCTCACCCCGTAAACTCCTACGCTTGCTTCAGAACCCTGCTCCCCTGGCTGCTCCTCTGTGACCCCAGCAGTGTCCTCTCACGCCCCTGCAGTTTTCTTGCCCCAACCCTGTACCTCCTTCTGCTTCAGACCTGGGCACACTGTGTCCCCTCCCCCCGCCCCAGGCTGGGGATCTTCAGGACCAGAGGGTGAGTTCTACCCCCAACACACACACACCTCCCATTCTGTTCTCACCCCCAGACAGAAATGGCCCCTGAGCTGGGGACAGACACACATGCCAAGAAACAGGCTTCATCCGTACCCCACACAACAGCCATAAATAAATAACGCATAAAACACAAATGAGATTATGTCCTTCCCCTGTTCAAACCCCCTGCACAGCTCCCAGTGCTCCGGGATAAAGGCCAAGCTCCACAGCCCACAAAGGGAGGCCCCACATGATCCAGGCCATTGAACCTCTGGCCTTTGCCCAGGATGTCCGCTGGGGGACTCCCACCTCTCCTTGAAGACCAACTCCTACATCCACCGCCCAAGGGAGGCCTTCCTGGACTTCTCCGCCTCTGAGTGCCTTCGGATTTCTATGCTACCTCTCTCCCACCCCCGGGATGGTCCTATACCCTCCGCCTCCCCTCCACCTTCCAGCTTCTGGCTCATGATTGGTCTTCTTGTATTCTGTGTTCTAGTGAACTGCATTTCTGCTTCCTCCAAAGCACCATACCCTCCTGCACCTAGGCCTTTGTACAGGCTGTTCTCCTTGCCTGGAATGCCCTTTTGCTCCCTGCTACACATGCCTCTGGTCTCAGATGTTGCCCAGGCCAAGTCAGACTTTTTCTCTGGGCTCCCCCACCCCTTGGAGGTGAATTTATCTCCCCCACTGGACTGGGAGCCCACGAGGGTAAGACTGGGGCCTTTACAGAGTTCCCTCTTCCTGGACTGCTCTTCCTCCTCCTCAAGGCTGATTACAGTTGGTCCTTTACGCCTCAGCTCAGGCATCTGCTCCTCCAGGAGGCCCGCTCTGCTCTCTCTGGTCCCCAGGCCAGGCACCTCCTCCAGGATCCCCTATACCTGTGGGGTTTCTCCATCACAGTACCAATCACTCTGGACTGTTATCATCTATTAATGTATTTGTCTTCCCCACTGAATCCCAAGCCTCAAACCAACAGGGACTGCTGGGACTGCCTTGGTCTCTGCTACGTCTCAGTACCAAATGCAATATGTAGCACATGAATGACTGAAAAAATCCTTTTATGTAAGTACTTAAAAAAAAACAACAGACCCTGGCTGGTGTAGCTCAGTGGATTGAACGTGGGCTGCAAACCAAAGGGTTGTCGGTTTGATTCCCAGTCAGGGAACATGCCTGGGTTGCAGGCCAGGTTCCCAGGGGGTCACGAAAGAGGCAACCACACATTGATGTTTCTCTCCCTCCCTTCCCCCCTCTCTAAAAATAAAATATTTTTAAAACCCAAACAACAGTAATAACCCTAATACCATTCACTGAGTGCTTACTATTTGCCAGGCACATTAAACACCTGTTCTTATGCCCTAGTCAGGCTCAGGTGATTGGGCATCTTACTGCAAAGCAAAAGGTTGCTGCTTTGGTTCCCAGTCAGGGCACATGCCTGGGTAGCAGGTTCCATCCCTGGTCGAGGGCATTCGAGAGGCAACCGATCGATGTTTCTCTCTTGCATCAATGTTCCTCTCCCTTTCTTTTTCTCTCCCTTATAAAATCTTTTTTAAAATACTAGTTCTCATTTCATTCCAACAACTCTATGAGGTCAATAATATGTTTGGGTTTGGGGTTGTTTTTTTTTTATTTATCTTCACCTTTGGACACTTTTTCATTGCTTTTAGAGACAGGGGAAGGGACAGAGGAAGGGAGATAGAGAAACATCGATGAGAGAGAGAAGCATCGAGTGGTTTGCCTCCTGTAGAAGCCTGGACTGGGGACCATAGGTGCCTAGAAGGGGGATCAAACCTGCAACCTAGATATATACCCTGACCTGGAATCGAACCCACAACCTTTCAGTTATGGGGCCGACACTCTAAACAACTTGGCCACACTGGCCAGGGCTTTTCCCATTATTGCTTATCCTCCCTATAACTTTTTCCATGGTGAGTACTATTATTATCCCCACTTGAGGGGAGGGAAAGCTGAATCTCAGAGAAAGGAAGCCACTTTCCCAAATTCACAAAGCTGGTAAGAAGTGAAAACCAAATTTGAAGCAAGGCAATTGGGCTCACTGCCTGAGGTTTCTAACAATTACTCAGAATACCCCTCGCTGATGCTCCTAGCTTGCAACTGTCCAACTGAGTGTAGGGGAAACTCCCCCACCAGACTTCAAGGCCTTGCAGGGTAGCGCCCAAGGTGGCTGCTTTTCAGAGCAAAGGGCCTGCACCAGAACTGGGCTCTGGAGATGTGGCGAATGGATGGATGACTGTACAAATGAATGAATTAGCAAATGACAGGGTGTGTGACCCACACCGCCCTACTCACCCTCGATGAGCCACTCGCAGTTGCCATTGACGCTGTAGTTGCCCGCACCATCCGTCACGAAGCCTGGGGCCTCCCGCAGGACTTGCCGCTGCCCCTTGCAGTCCCCGGCCCGGGCCCCAGGGGACAGCGGCCCCAGCAAGACCAAAGACAGGGCCAGCATGGCGACCAGAGCCCGGCCAAGGGCCATCGCTGCCTCCGGTACTGACCCTTACAGACCGCGGGGACCCTCCACCGGTGTGAGGCCCTGAAGGCGACCTCTATGGACGGGACATGGCCTTGTAGACCAGGGAGGTCTAGAATTCGCAGTCCCTGCTAAGGGAACCGCAGCTGGCGACGGGCTCTGGAAGTCGAGGGGTGGGCCTTAGAGACCCATGATAGGCCCTGAAAATGGGGTCGCTATAGGCGGGGCCGAGCCCTAGGGACTGTGGGAGTCCCTTATAGACACAGGCCCCCATAGGCTGGCTGACCCCAAAAACGGTGTCCAGCAACTACAGACGCGGACCGCTGCAGGCCGAAACGGACTTTAGAGATGGGTGGGTCCCCAGGGGGCGAAGGGTCCTGAAGCCGGGCGAGCGCTCCATAGAGGATGCAGGCCCGGGCGGGCCAGGCGGGGATGGTCCGGGAGAGACTCCAGCCGGGGGCGGAGCCCGTTCTCAGGGACTCAGGTCTGGACCGCAAAGATTCACTCCGTCGCTCACCCACCCGCGACTCCCTACACAGCCGGATAGGCCAGATCACAGAGTCGAGGGGACGCTCGGGCCAGAGCGGTCCTAGGAAGACCGCTTGGTGGGCAAGAGGGCGGGGTCGGGAGGGTGCCCGCTGTGGGAGAACTGGGGCCGGGAGAGGAGGCGAGAAGTAGCGGAGCAGCAGGTCAGAGCGGCTCCGGGAGGACTGCGGAACACTTAACCCCACCCCCCACAAATGGAGACTTCCGGAACACCCCCCCCCCCCCCCCCGCGCGCCCGTTTGTTTGCAAGCGCATGTGCAATATTAACCTCCATGGCCAGGGGAAAAAAATTGCACATGCGCAATGCTAAAATCGTAACCCAAACTCAGGGTGCAGCTGGCTGACAACTCTGTGCCACTTGAGGGCGCCTCTACCTCTGAGTCGGGAAGAGAAGGTAAAAAGAGCGGTGCAGTGAGAGGACTAGATGATTCATATCTTCAGTGATCTCAAATTCTGGGTCAACATAACGGTCACATTATGCAGACCTCTCCCACTTTGCCATTTCACGGATGGACACACTGAGACCCCAAGCCTAGAACGGTTCTTTCTCAGCCCTGTCTCTGAGCACCGTCAATGTAAAAGAGGCCAACTTATAGATAAAAACTCAACGAATCTTCTTTATTTTGGCAAGAAGGGAAAAAAGTCTTTCTGCCGGGGACCTGAGGGAGGCCCCTGGGGTGGAGATGGGGGTGGACAGAGCACGGGTCCGAGGTCACAGAGATCTAAGGGAAGGCTTCAAAGTCGAGACGAGCTTCACAATATCCGTCCCGGGAGCAGTGGCACAGGGTCGTGGAGTCCTCTTGGAGTGTCCCATGGGCAGGGTCCCGGCGATCCTCACTGGTGTTCCAGGGTCCGACGGGGTCAGAGGTCTCGGAGGGGGCCAGGGGGCCGGAGGTCACGGAACAGCGGGAGCCCAGAATCCGGCGCCGCTCGGGGCAGGGGCTGAGGGAGGGGACGGGGAGAGCGGCTCCCGCGGGACCGTTTGGCACAAGAGTCAGGGGGTGGGGGGAGCGGGACACCTTGCACCCCTACCTGGGCGCGCGGGATGGGGAGGGTCGGGAAGGCCTGGGATGACCGAACCCTGGGGCTGGGATAGAGAGAGGGTCCGGAGCCCGGCCGGGACCCGGCGCATGGCCCATGAGGCAAGGGTGGGCAGGGGTGTCAGACCGGGGGTGCAGTGCCCCCGGCCGTGCGCATGCTGAAGTATTCGGTGAAGCCGGTGTGCGGCGACGCCGTCTGGGGCACCAGAGGCTGGTAGGGCGGTGTCCGGCCATCCCAGCTCGGGTCGGCCGCCTTGGGGAACGGAGCGGGAGGGGGCGGGGAGGCCGCGCCGGGCTCGGCCATGGTCACCACGCGGCCCCTCGGGGCCACCACCGCCGCCACCGCCGTCTCCTCCACCTGCTTCCCGGCCTGGGAGGGGGGTCAGGGTCAGAGGCCGTCCGGGACCCACGTGGGGCAGATGCGGTCCCGAAGGCCCGTCCCCCTCCCGCCGGAGAACCCCCTCCCCAGGTGTGGGCGCCCGTGTCAGTCAGGGAAGGAGCGGGTGGTGGGGCGCCTGGGCAGCGGGGCTAGATACTCAAGGGGCGGCGTCGGGGAGCGAGGGGCGAACTCCGGCGGCGGCCGGGGAGGTGGGGGCGAGCTGCGGAAGGCAAGCGGCGGGGGCACGGCGCGTGGCGTCTGCGGGGGCGTGCGCAACAGCGCCAGAACCCAGTCTGGCAGGGTAGGCGCGGGCGCCGGGAGATGGTCGCGGCGCGGCATCGCGGCGCGAGGGGTGCGAAAGGCAGGGGGTGGGCTCAGGCGCCTGGGCGCTGGGGGCGGCGGCGGGGCCGGGAGCGGGGTCAGGTACTCCAGGGGCGGCGCCAGCAGCTCCTCGGGCGCCAGGGGCGCGGGGCTTACGGAGGAGGCGGGCGGGGGGATGGAGAAGAGCTCCGTGAAGTTGGGCACCGAGTCGCTGATGAACGTCACGTTCCCATAGACGTGCTGCGGGAAGGCCTTGTCCGCTGACTCGCTGCTCCCGGGGCCCGGGGCACCGGCCGAGGCTATCTGCGATGTGCGCACGTGGTAGGGGAAGTTCTTGTTGGCCGCCGAGGGGCGTGTCATGATCTAGAGTGAGGGACAGGTGCAGGTTGAAGAAGCACTGGCCAGGACTCAGGCCTAAGGACCCCCTTCACTTGGAATCCCCCACCCTTCCCTGAACCCTTCAGACGGAACTAGGCGCCTCCCATGGGCTTTCACAGTACCCTGGGCTCTGACCTTTTTCCTTCATCACAACTCATTACTATGCCAATGCTTTCCTCGGTCAGAGCCCTGATCGCTGAGCTATCACTGACTAGTTCAGCTTCAGGGCCCTGCTCTGTGTGGTATGATAGCCACCTGCCATATGTGGCTGCATTTAATTTAATCAAAATGAAACTTCATTTTTCTGTTTCTTAGTTACACTAGCCACATTTAAGTGCTTGATGGCCACGTGTAGATAGCAGTTATCATACTGGACAGAAAAAATCATAGAATATTTTCGTAAACACACAAAATTCAATTCAACCAGTAGACCTTAGAACATTAACTCCTTGAGGGCAGGAACTTGATCCTTCTGTTTCCTGCTAAATCCCCAATACCTCCTAGAAGGGTGCCTAGTACAGAGAGGCTCTCCATAAATACTGGTTGAATGTAGGGCCGTCTCCCCATTAGTCTGGTAGGAGGGAAGGAACTGAGTCTGACTCTAGAACCACATCTGGGGAGCCCAGCATGGCCCTCTAAGGTTGTGCTCAATAAACGAAGGAGCCGAAACCAATCAGCAGTGGGATGTCCACCGTGAAGCCGTGCTGAGCTATCCTGAGCATTTTTAATAATGAAACTGGCTCAAGGTGAAATATAGCAGAAAGGGCACAGTGTTTGGTGTTCTGAGCCCGCACCTCACCTCTTAGCCCCACAGCTCACTGAGTGTGGGGTCTGGGGCACGTTGATTAAACTCTCTGAGCCTCACTGGTGGAAAGGAATTGCAGTGCTTATTCCAAAAGATAAGGGAGGGGCGGACATGGAAACCACTGGTGCAGAGCCTGGCCCATGATGAGTTCTCCGCCCCTTTCTGACTTCCTGCAGAGCCTCAAGATGGACTCTCCCAGGAAGGTAAATCTGTACCTAAGTCAGGCTGGGGGGTAGCAGAGCAGGGACCTGGCCACCTCCCTCAGCTGAGTACCTTTCCTACACAGAGCACATGGTGGACCCCTGGGGCCTTCAGTGATGCCTGCCTCCCTTTCATGCCAGGTCTTGTGGTCTGCTGGAAAAGAACTAAGTTCAAAGTCCCTGTCCTCCCACTAAAGGCCATGGAGCCCTGGCAGGTGACCTCCCACCTCTGGGCCTTAGCTTCCTTTCTCTGTCAGGTGGGGCCAATGACCACTATGTGGGGCTCCTCTGACACTTCAAAGAGAGGGTAGGAATAAAAGCATATGGGTGTTCCTGGTGTGAAACAGGTGCCTCCTGAATGGTGGATGGATGGGTGGTGGGTGGATAAATGGATGGATGAATTGATGAATGTAAAAACTGTCACCCAGCCCTGGCTGGTGTAGCTCAGTGGATTGAGCGCAGGCCTGTGAACCAAACAACCGCGGTTCGATTCCCAGTCAGGGCACATGCCTGGGTTGCAGGCCAGTTCTCAGCAGGGGATGCACCAGATGCAACCGTACATTAATGTTTCTCTCTCTCTCTCCCTCCCTTCCCCTCTAAAGATAAATAAATAAAATCTTTAAAAAAAAACAACAAAAACCTGTCACCCAGAAGGCTGGATAGGATGTACATCAGGGCAAAGAAGAGATTTGCTGCTAGTACCCTCCGGATGCCATTCAGATCTAGGTCCCTGGAGCCCTGGCCTGGCCCACCCCCAGCTGCTTCTGCCCAAACAGTGCCCTATGATGGAGTGGCAGATTTGGAGGACATATAGGAGAAGGGTGGAGTAGAGACCAAGGGGACTGGGGTAGGCAGTGGGGACACAGGGTCAAGAATGGGAATGAAGAAGGGGGCAAAGAAAGAGGGTAGGTGAGGGGAAGAGGCCAGACACGAGGTGGGAGAGAAGGACGGGCGAGAGTGGCATCTGGGGGCACAGCAGAGCAGCCTGCAGAATCCAGCAGGCTTTCATGAAGTGTCCATTGAATAACTGAAGGGATGAAGTGAAGGATATGGACCAAGTGTTCAGAACACAAGGTTCAGGCGGGTCAGGGTGAGAGCCTCATACATTCTGCACCCATTGGTTCCCCACCCCGCAAGATGCCGTCCTCACCAGGAACACGCCATGGGCATAAAAATGGATGCCCAGCTGGATGCCATTGACAATTTTCTCCCGAGCCCACTTGGGGATCCCAAAGTTGGCGATCAGGGCCATGACAGGAACTGCAAAGAACCTGAAGGGGAGGAAGTGGATTGGTAGAGACACTGTGTGATGCCTTCCACCCCCTGGATCAGCTCCCCTGCCACACACACACACACACACACACACACACACACACACACAGGCCCCAGGTGGGTCCCAAACTGGAGGGTAGTTGTGTGACTTTCAGAAGCCAGAGGTTTAAAGAGGGCAAGATTCCCACTGGCCTGGGAAATTCTGGGGGCCTCGCACTAGGTTGAATTGAACTCAGTTCCACCCCACACCACATCCCAGCACCTGACAGGAAAATCAATAGAGTTGATGAATGGATTAACATATGGATTTTCCATATGGATTTTAACAATGGATTAACAGTCGTAACAACTGAGGACTTACTGCATGTCAGATCTGTTTTCTAAGCACTTTACATATATAAGCTCACTGAACTCTCACAGTGGCACTGTGAGGCAGGCACAATTTCGACCTCCGTTAAACACATGAGGAAAATAAGGCAGAAGTTAACTGACTTGTGTGAGATCACAAAAGGATATACTGGGGACCCCGCACATCTCACCAGAGGGTGTAGGCAGCAAAGAAGGGCACGTAAAAGGGCTGTTTCTCCGGGAAGTGACGCAAGGAGACGAGCACAGCGTAGCAGAACCACACGTAAGCTGCCACCTGCAGCCCGATGAGCCCGTAGCCTGCCGGCGACTCGTACGTGTACAGTACCTGGCCTGGGTCAAAGAACTGACCCAAGGGAGAGGTTTGTCATAGCACTGGTCTCCTGCCCTCCACACTGGG